GCGAGCTGAGGACTAACGAGGTCTTACCTTTTAACGTGTGATTCCTAATATATTATAATATTCATTCATTTTCTCAAATTGTAACTTTTGTAATTATAAGTATCGATATAATTTTTTTAACATACTTAGTTAACCCTGTAAATGGTTTTTAACTGTTGGGTAATAAATGCTATCATTATTATTATTATTGTGTGTCCATATATATCTGATTTACAGTATAGCAAAACACCAGCCTGTGGCTTGAACCGCTGACTCAGACATAGGTCGATTGAGAGAGTGAACAAAGCACCCACGTCGAACCGCCCGGCTACCGACCTACCTATATTTTTTAAGGACAAAACAGAATTCTACAGAAAACTCTTTAAGGCGCTGTAAGAGCGGTGCCTGTACGTAAGTAGTGATTCACGTTCATTCAGCATACACGCAGTTCTCCAAATGAAAGAGTTCTTGAACAGTGAAGTTCGAAGTGTACTGAGATGACTCTCAAAACGATGAGCAGCCACAGTGAGTCGCGTATTTCTGATATATGTACCGCTCTTGATGGAATTAAATGTGAAAAATCACTTAAACACTTCCCGTGAGAGTATCTATAAAAGAGAGACAAATCTCCAACCTTTCTTCGATGTTCCAGACTATCAAGGTTGCAAGTCAGGCAGATGGATCTTTCCTGGATGGAATCCAGCAGCTGCAAGAGGAGCTCCATGCATAAGAACAATAATCCAAAGAAGGTCTGATCTGAGCTTAATAAAGCATCAAAAGTTGCTGAGGCGTGTACCGTTTTCTGGTTTGGAACAGTATTCCAAGTTTTTGAGAAGCAGCCTTTGCAATTCCAGTGACATGATTGTGCCAAGACATATTGGTATCCATTTTAACCCCCAACAACCTTATCGAAGCAGAAAGCTATCCTCAGCAAAACAGTATATTAGATTCTTGTTTTTTCAAGTTGTTGATATACGATAAAAAGAGGGTAAGAGACAATATGGATCCCTGAGGAACACCAGGGTTCATGGTGAAAGTGTTCGTGAAATATCCATCGCTACTTGCAGGGCCAGCAAACCCTCATGCCAAACACAGTAAAAGGCCCTCGAAATAACATCGTATATCATTCCTTTGAAAATAACAAATCAAGCGTTGTATATTGTCATTATCAAAAGAAATGAAATGTTTATGAAATCCACAAACTTGTGGAGATCAAATCGTAATGTGTAGTTTATGAAATGACTATGAATCTTCATCAAGTAACGGCCGAATCAATCAGAAAAAAATGTTTTTATTTATTTGGTATCGAATGCACTTTCAAGATAAAAATTACCATTTGGGTGTCGAAAATTCCCATTGAATCGGAAAGGCTGACTGTTTGGTATCGAAATTTTCTCCACTTCAGAAAATCAGTTTCAGGTTATTTTGATTGTTTTTGGGTGCAACACAATCTCTAATATTTATCTGTTCTAATATAATATACAGGGCAACATTCTCTGGCAGCCATTTTAAAAACCAGATCTACTTTTCTCTTCAGCCTTATAAGACTTCGAGAATTTTCTCATCTATTCATTCAGAAGAATAATCTAAAGTCAGTTGAAGACTATCGGTTGGAAAATTTTCAATGATAGGCAAACAATAAATGGACAAGGGAATATGTTTAGAAGAGATTGCCTTTTTTAATTGTGATATTTCTCCAAAAAACCGTTGCCAATATTCAAGGGAGAGAAAAAAAAAATTTCATGAGAGTAATCATTCCATTGCGTGGAAGCCATAATTCAAAGTTAAGTAATTGTTTTGCCAATATTTCTTTATATTGCGTTGTTTACAATTATCAATGAGTCGTCGTTATACCTCGGAATCACCTAATTATCTTATAATACTTGGTGTTATAACATTATTTGTGTAAATCACCCAATCTGTAAATTATCGCTGTATACCATAATATCTAGCTGAAATAAGTGGAAGCGGAAATGAAAAAGGCTACGTACATCTATATATTAGATCGAAAATAGATGTTTCCGTTTCTATAAAAATATTGATACTGTAAATTGGCCAATACAGAAATGGAAAAAAACAACTTTTAATTTGGATGAAGTTATGAATGAATTCATAAATAACGATGACTGTATTTTTCAATGTCATATTTTCAGTGATAAAAACAAATGATTAATTCAACGGATGGTGAATTTTAATGAGTCTCAAATTAGATACCACCTTTAGGATCATTTCAACTCACACATCATGTCGGGACCATGGTGACAAACACTATTCAAATAATATTTTATTTGTTCTATTTGTAATTGTTGCCAGAGAAAATCGACTCGATTTGTATTTTGTAAAACGTAAAGACAAATTTGGGTTTGAAATCTTTTTTAATTTATTTTCAACTAGCGACCCGCCCCTGCTCCGCACGGGTACAATTCTGATACTTAATATAAAATCACCCAACAGAAATTTAAGGACATGGAGAAACAGTGATAAAAAAATAATTTTACCACCCTGGGGGTAAAAGGGGCGTGTTTACTAATTAAAATGACCTATTCGGCTGCCAGCGGGGCAGGCACAAACAATATGCTCTGCTGTTTCATCGTTAATGAGCTAGTCAGATCGTAAAGGTGCAAAGGTACTTTTTCGCCTCTGGTTTTGGTGAATTATCACTTGAGCGCAAACGTTTGCTAACCTGCTCATATGGGAGGTTTGTTCCTCCACCTGAGACAGATTCTGCGTACACCGCTCAAGAATTTGGTGCAAGGCGGTTTCATAAGGTACTCCGTACCCCGCTCTTGAGGATACGACTCAGTCGTTTCCTGGCTGCACCACCAAACTTTTATTTAGGTTCAGTTATTGGATCAGGAGTTGGAGAGTTGAGAAGCTCTTGAGGTCAGTTGGAGTCGTAAGCTCGTGCATCTCCTCTGTAGACTTTCTCCTGATCTAAATTTACATGGAGGTCAGTTGGAGTCGTAAGCTCGATATCCATCTCGAAACAAACAATGGACTGCAAAGGAGAAACCAGCTCCAAAAAAAGCAAAAACTGTTTTTTGGCTGGGAAAGTGATGACGACTGCTTTTTGGGGTCGTCATGTGGTTATTATAATCGATTATCTTCAAAAAGGAAAAATCGTTGCAGGAGAATACTATGCATCATTATTTGAAGGCTGAACTTGCGGAAAAATGGCCACATTTGCAGAAAAATAAAATTGTGTTTCACCAAGACAACGCACCGTCTCACACTTCAACGGTTGCACTGGTGAAAATCCACGAACTACGGTTTGAACTTCTTGACCATCCGCCTTACTCGCCAGATCTAGCCCCAAGCGACTTTTTTTTGTTTCATCATCTGAAAATTGCGCTCGGAGGACAGAGATTTTCGTCAAATGAAGAGAAAATCACCTTCTTGATCAATTATTTTGCAGAGAACAACGCCGAATTCCATTTCGACGGGTTACAGGGATGGGAATATCGCTGGGAAAAGTGTGTAGAGTTCAAAGGAGAGTATGTTAAAATCATATCGGATTTGTCATGGCTCACATCAAATGTAAAATAGAAATAGACAAAGTAAAGAATTGTTCAACCAAGGAGTTAGGAATAGCGGATATCAACAAAGATTCTGACCCGAATGAAGTACCTGATGATACTTGAAAATGTGCAAATGGACTATTGTTTTTTCAAGGGTAAAACGTAAGCACTACAGGAAAATCCTTAAGGCGCTACAAGAGCGGTGCCTGTGCGAAAGTAGCAATTCATGTTGGATTTGACTAGCTGGAGATTAAATTCATTTGGGAAACCGTTCTCAGGAAGTTTATTCCACATAAACGCAGTTCTCCAAATGAAAGAGTTCTTAAACAGTGAAGTTCGAGGTGTACTGAGTTGAACCTCAAAACGAAAGTCAACCTCAGCCACAGTCCGTCGCGTATTTCTGATATGTACAGCTCTTGGTGGAATCAAATGTGCCAAGTCACTTGAACACTTCCCATGAAAGTTTCTATAAAAAAGAAAGAAATCTTCAATCTTTCTTCGATGTTCCAGATTATCAAGGTTGCAAGTGATGTTACGAGTATATATAGGTAGAACGCAGTGAACTTTATCGATTCACCGACATCTTTTACTAGGTCAAAACAAAATCAATAAAAGCTAATACACTTAACGTTTCAAATCAAACAATCAAATATGGATGAAACAACGGATTCGACTGATGTTTCCAATATACCAAATGAAACATGTCATCCGACAGTCTTTCAATAGGCAAGATGGAACTGCACCATTCCTTGAGACCCGTTTATATTTTCACGAAAATTTTTGCTCACTGCCAGTATAAGTTCGACTACCAAAGGAGAGTTTACATCCCCGATTTGTGGGCCATCGTCTACAGCATTCTCTTCAGTCTGACTACTTGTTTGCCTTTTTGTTTCGAACATTCTTTCATCGATGATTTCGGAAATGTGATGGCTTACACCTACAGTTTTTCCTTCGTTCTCTACTTTGAGTTGATTATCGTAAATGTCATCATATTCATGCACCTTTTGAATGTCAAGAAAACCGCAGGGGTTTTCACAAAATTGGAAGAAATCGATGAAGAATTGGCAGAAATCGTTGGAGAGCGAATAGATTCAAGGCCAATATTCAAATTTTCCATATTTGTTATAACGTTTTTTGTTGTGGATTCAATTTTTCGAGTGATATACGAGTTCAAGGTATTCTATAATGATGCCTTATATTATTGCGTGAGTACATTTTGGAATGCCATTTTGTGTGACATTTTCAAGGTAGAGTTTTGTGTTATTATGTATGTACCTTTGAGAAGATTTCGCCTCTTGAATTCATTATTTCAAGGCCTGAAAATGAGAGGAAATGGACGTGTAATTGGTGAGTAATGAAAATATGTATGTATGATAGTCCCTATTTTAAAAATGTTCGTCATCGATTGTAAAAATGTAAAACCCCTGCTTCACTTTCAATAGTACAATGACTTCTGAGGGCTTTGAAACATTTCATTTGTTCAGGCGGTTACTTTTGCCCTTCATAAGTAAATCACAGCGTCAGGAACAAATTTAAGGTTCAATAGCAATAATAATTATAGTCCATTTGTCTTTCAGATCGTAGATATTATATACGGCTGGATCATAAATCAAATTTTATTTTATATTTCACTTCAAATTTAAAAACAATATCAAAATATACGTGGACTATTAAAAAAATAAGGTGAATGTTTAAATTTCGCCGGGTACGTAAATTCGATTAGCGATTTTTTTACTACACTCGTCTTGAACATATGTTCATATTTTCAGCTCTTTAGTATGTTCAGTTCGTTGGTGATGCACGTATTCGCCGTTTTCTCTGTATGGCGAAGCTTCCGTAAAACTCAAGCCAAGCTTAAATGTTTGCGGTATGCTCCCTAGAACAATAAAAGTAGCTTAGCTAAGAGCCAAAATAACTTGACAACGTTATTGTATCTTTTCGGGGATAATTACGGTTTACACGTCAATTCTGAAATTATGAGAACCGAATATTAGATGAATTTACTAAAAATTGGAGTTTTGATGGTTTAGTTTTACCTTGTTGTCGAAAAGTATCAGAATCTGACAAAAGAACATACTTACCAGTGAATTTTCATCTATTACTAGCGAAATGAATGAACAAGTAAGAGTTCCAAACTCTACCTCAACGGCGAAATAATTTTTGCAACTCGATCATAGCCCCCTGTATTGCAAAATAAAATCTAACTGACCACAAGTAGAGAGAGAAATGTTCTACTCAGGACTACATGTATCTCGGCCGATGGCAATCTCTGCTGAACAATAATACTACTATAAAACCACTTATAAATTTTCTGTTTTACATGTGGTCAGTTATATCTTATGTGATTGCAATAAAAAAAAGTAAAAACAATTGAATGTATTTTTTACAAATCGTTTTCGAATTCTAAAGCATTTTCTATGAGCTCCAGCACAAATAGTGTTGTTAGCATCATCCATCTCCTCGAAATAGTTGGGCCTTCTAAAAATTCTTCGTGGAAAACCAAAATCAATGACATGTAAGATGCCGTTATCGACTTCCAGCATGATTTCATCTTCTAGTTCCATCATTCTGCAACAACTGATTTTAATTTCACAAGTCCGTTTACTGAAACATTCCAGCAAAACACTTGCATTATTTCCAAAACTAAAGAATAATAAGTGAGGTTATGATGTATACATAAGCTTGCCTTCACGTATAAAGCTACCGAATTTGTCCGCTTACATTTAAGCGAACTTAAAGGCATTTGTTGATACGATGCATACAAAACTGAAGCGTTAAGCGAGCTTACCCCTTAAGCTTCGCTCTACGGCGAATACGGGCATTAGTCTCTCCGGCGTTGTCGTCATAACTTTCACATCAATCTCAATCCAGTAGTTCAGTTCAGCAACGAATATAGTATAGCTTCGTGGCATTATAATGTCCTCGATAAGTTGAGAAATTGACCTCAGTAATACGAACCCATAACTCATTAGAATCTCTTTACTACAATACTGAAATCCTCAAGAACAACGCTGCGCCGGTGAATACCAGCTTTGCAAATCTACGTCTTATTTTTTTTTTTTGTTTCAGTTGAAAAACATGTAGAATCTATTGAAACGATTCACGCCATTCACAATAAGCTTTGTTCAGTATGCCTCGACATCAACGACATCTTCGGAATACCCACGTTGCTGCTCTTCACACATGCAGTTTCATCGGCAGTGATTCAGTTTTACTACACATTCCTCATGAGAGTTCACTTTAGCTGGAGAGTTGCTGCACAAGTTTTTGCGATCTTACATTGGACTATATTCCGTTTAGGTTCCTTAGTTATAATTGCTCTCCTCTACCACTGTATTCTTAAACAAGTGAGTACCTATAAAATAATTGCAATTTGAAATTCTACTCTACATACCTATTTACAGTTAACACGCGGAAACTCAATAGATATCCAGTGTACATTCGTTCTACCAATGGTTCTACTTGCATATATTCGATGGACGTTCAATTCAGGTTGATGTCCGTATTCTCCATATATCATGCAAAGTCAGGCTTTACTAAGCTCGAAAATTAAGCTCAGCTTAAATGTTAATTTACTTGAGTCAAGCTTTCTAAAACACATAATACATGTGGCAACGTCTGAAATTATTCTGCACGCAATGCACAATAAACCACAATATTTTTTCAGGTTGCAAACATGAAAAGAACTATTCACAATCTGCTCCATAGGATTCAAGACCAATCAGTGAAAGCAGCGGTAATGTTGTTTAATTTTTTTTATAATGTATACACACATTACATACATTCTCAACACCACTAAACCCTAGCGACCTAGCAAACTACCTTGCAACCTAGCAAACTTATTTTCCTAATAAATTTTATTCAAAACGCTTTTCACTGCACGGTAGCTTCATCAGTTACTAGTACTTCAAACTCTTCTACAATGAATTTTTATATAATGTATGGTAATGACTAAACTTGTTAGATATACATGATTAAATCTGGTAAAACATGTAGATTTTGAATGAACAATCGGTTACAATTTTAATATTACTTCTAGGAAACATAAAAAATCGGCCTTTTATGTCATTACTTAACTCGGACTGTCTTCCGACAGTCCGAGTTAGTTTCAGCCAAATTAATTAAACGGGTTTTTTATAGTATTTCCTTTTCAACAAATGATTAACGAGATTCTTCATTTTAACATCACTTTTTTATTCATGAACAGATTTAAATAAATCAGACAAATAGTAAGTGAAGCTTACCACATTACAGACAAATGTACAGACAGCGATCAGTTACACATTCATAACTTATATTAATCAAATGTATTTTTTTTTCAGCTAGAAATATTTGCTCTTCACGAAATGAATAGAAATTTGGAGTTCACTGTGTGTGGTCTATTTTCGGTGGACTTCAGAATGATTCAAATGGTAAGAAAACAAATCTAAACGGAATTCATGAAAAAATTCAGGTGTGGATAAGTTCCCTAAATGGTTCTCCAGGTATAATTGATAGGTGTCAAAGTCGTAGATTTGAAAAAGGAAATATACGAGGTATTTTCAAAAATAAGGTGATTTTTGGCAAAAAGAAAAGGTCACAGGGGGGCAAATCTGGAATACGGTGGCTTTCCATTCTTCTTCCCCCTTCTTTCCGTACCGTGTCACAATATAATATTTTTTTATGCAAAACATATGTATGCCTACTGACACAGCGGGAAAGTTTGATTTATAGTATGATATGATTCATTGTTTTTTTTTATTCATAATTCTTGTTTTTTACACTTCAATATCTTTACAATTCAATATCTTGTTTTTCACAAAATATTTCATCACTTACCTGTTTTTTATTTTTCAGGCTTTCGCCACAATTGCAACATACGTTGTTCTTCTGATCCAGCTGAAAGTTGTTAAATAAATCAATCAAGATGTATGATCCAATTATAATTTCTAGTCTGGATTTCCACGATTTTTTTCATTCATTAATGTTATGCCATTGGGAACACCTTTCTTTCCCAAAAACTAATCACTCCTAAAAAATATACCCCTTTCAATTTATTGGATCTCTTCATTATTTCTTTATTGAGACTGTCGCAGGTCAAAAGTTGTCAACAAAATATTTCACACGGGGAAAAAGACCAAGTCTGTCTAATAAAATATTGACGGGTAACATTTTAATTCACTGATTCCTTTCATAACGTTCACAAAACAACATTAAATGAGCACTAACTATAATAGAAATAATTTGAGCTTTGGCTTATATTAATTGTTTATTTATTATTATATGCTGAATATAAAAAAGAAATAAGATTTGCATCGATGATACGAAAAGAGAACCGACGTGTTATCGGAAATTATTTGTCGAGTGATTATGGTATAACATATCATAATATAATCCTCTTATCTTTATACTATGAACATATACATCAAATCGAGTTCATCATGCTCAATATCTCAATCCGACTTCGACAGTTATCGATTGTTGGTGGTTTCCCCCCAGAAATATTCTATGCGAAAACAAACAGTGTTGATTAGTAACTAGTAACAGAATACTTCTTCTTATTCTTGGCTTTTGGGATGACAGTATGTCCAAATGCTACTATTGACAAGGAGTGATAATCATTTTGATAATACTCGCAATGAGCAATAGAATTACTCAAAAGACATCGATAATACACCAATTGTTCATGCCAGACCAGGTATTCACAAAAAAGTAATCCAATGGAGTTTTGGAAAACACACAAAAGTACTTTTTCTGATCTGTGCAAATCAGCTGTTAAGGATTTATCTATACCAGCCACATCGGTCCCTTAAAACGGGTATTTCCCAAAATTGGACAATTCAAATTTGAGAAGAAATCATCTATCTCCGGACAAATTAAACTGTGATTTTTACTGTGAACTAAGAACATTCTGGAATAGGATTAGTGCCAAAAAACACCAACCATCAACGGTTGGCTTGAAAATGACAATATGTAAAACAGTCGTGGTTCTGGTAAAATCAATCGAGAACAGCTATACGTATGTTTTGGTTAAATTAATTCAAATTATGGCCAAAGGCGCCTGAGTAAGGAAGTAACGATCATATAATAAGAAGAATAAGAATATTTCGATTATCTTTATAAACAATGAGAGAGAGAGAAATTGGTCACAGTATTTTGTATACAGATATACTGTGAATTGGTATTCTTAAAGTGGTTGATAATTCCTAATTCTAGTGAAACGAAGAGAAACTAAGAGGAATGGCTGGAAATCCTAAGCTAAAAAGAAGTGATAACGGTTTGGTTGTCGAAATAAACTCAAGTCCAGTAGGTTAAAATCAAGTTTTTTTTAATAGTTTCCCTCAAAAACATAAATATCTTTTTTATAGTAAATAAACAATTCTCATTTTGAAAATTCCAAAATTAAATAAGATATTCAAAAAATACTTCCACTTGATAGTTTACAAAACCGCGACAATATCGTACTGTGACGCCCGAGGAAATATCACAAAGTGTTTTTAGAATAGGTTATAATGGATTTTCATCATATATATATATTTTTCAAATCAAATAACTTCGCAGAATGTATCGGAATCTCTTTTCAGTTCACTTTGGGAAGGTCATTGAGTTGTAATTATGTGATCCCTATTCAAAGCATTTCAAGAAACCATTGCAGTCTTGAAAAAGTTAATAACAGTTGGATTTTGAGAGACACTGTAGGTATATCCATCTCATTGAATGATCAGTAGCTTAACATACACATTTTTCAGAGCACAAATGGAACGTGTATAAATGGTACAGTGATAAAGTCTAAGGATAGTCCTCCTTTAAAAGATAGTGACATTATCGACTTGGATAGACAAAATGAAAAGTATATTTTCTACCATTCTGCACCAACTGGAGATATATCAGATGAACAACTTTGCAGAATAGCTGATTCTCTTTTGGATAAAGTCGAAGAAATTCCGAATCCTCAGTCAACTGTTCAGTCATATAAAACTGTACCAGCTTATAGAAGTATTCCTGCATCTACAAATGGTTCTCCTCATGCAGGTATAGTAGTTGTGAATGAAGTGATGACTAAATTTCAACTGAAGAGGCTACTATAATTCAATATCCAGCGTGGTATTGGCCGGGGAAGTAGTTGTTTTCCGGCAGGTATTTACCAGAACCAAAGGTTTAGGTAGTTGGGAGAGATGAATATTTTGAAATATTTATTTTCTTCAAACATAAGATGTCAATAATATCCTCTCAAACTGAATTATTTTGAAAATTATTTTTTATAGGAGGTTGATTTTGAAAATAAATAATAGGAAGTTGTACTTAAGATAGATTCATATAGTAATAGATCAATATCTGTAACTCAAGTTTCAAAAATTATGTTTTTATGTGCCTCATTTGGGAATGAAAAAAAAGTAAAACTAGAGAGTATGTAATACATTCAAAGTATGAGAATGATAGAAATTATAAAATAGCAATAGGGTAAGATCCTTGTGGCATAGATATATGTATATTACAAAAATTTGCAGCATGTCAGTTTAACATAGGTTATTGAAATCTATTTAGAATTAATAACAACTATAGTTAATAGACAACACCCCAGTCGACACATTTTACTCAGATTCACTTTGGACAAGAAAAAAATCTAAAAACAAGCACTTCTCGTTGAGAATTTCACCAACCAAGTTGGCGTCTCTAGGAGATGAAAACTAATTCCTAGCTCCACAATTTCACTTTTCGAAACACATCAATGATTTTTACAGTTTTTCTGAACTGACGTTCATTCAAGTTTACCATCCCAATGTCAATAAGTGATTGAACATCTTGCCAGCGATATAGAATATTGAGTCTCTGGTGAGATTTTTAGAAGGTAATGGGAGTTTCAGTATGGGCAATTGTTGCGAGTAGCAAAATGATTAGGAGTAGTTAGTGTATCTTGGTTCATATCACCTCAAAAAGGGATTGTCATTAAATGAGCGATAAATCCCTTTCTCTATGTTTTTCGAAACAATCGATCTTCAAATAGTTTCGGAAGAATGTTAGATCTTGAAATAGAAGGAACAATTTTGTATCTAAACCAATCAGTTATAGAAATTGAATAAGTAAATATTGTTGAAATTAAAATGAAACTGTTGTAGTGAGTTGTATATTTGTTGTGTAATAAGTGTCACTTATCTACACAAAATCCATAACAGTATGAAATTATTCAAATTAGTATCCTCATTCCCTGGATCTCTTTTCATATTAATTCTATGTTTCAAAAATATATTTCATCAGAAGTATGTTAACATTAAGGTACTTACTCAGATTTACAGTAATTTTTCATTGCAATATATGACTTATTGGAACTAGAATTGAAACACTGACTTTCAGTGAAGACCAAGGCATTACTTGGAGCTTTCAAACCAGATTTTGCAAATGAATTGCTATAATTTGCTGGTATTTCTTATGTCTTCAACTTTTTTATTCATTTTTATAGAAGAAACAGAAATAGCCGGTCCATCCAACCGGACTCCTGAAGAATGTACAGCAAAAACCAAAGAACCCAACGATGTCGAAGCTGAAACATCAAATCAATCATCTCAAGAATGTACAAAAAATGAAAAATCTAATGATGCTAAAAGTAAAGGTGGACCAGAAACAGACAGTAGGGAAGTAAGTGATTTTGGTGTTATATAAGGTTCTTTCCAACCTTGAGTCACCAACAGATTTCCAACAGTTTGTAAATCGTTGTCAAGGTGCATGTCTGTTAAATATTGGTTTCTGATTAATTTGAAATTTCTGATTGGAACAGCTGATAGTTCAACTGAAATTTGGCATGGAATTTTAACCTAACCTTTAAAAATAAATCTAATCAAGTGTATTTTTGGAGAGTAAAAGAAGGTTGCAGTATTTTATGTCTCTATTCTATTTACTAATCAACATGGAACTGGTAGGTAAGTAGGTCACCGCAATAATCAATTTGTGTAATTAAAGATGTTCATATTTTAGGTTCACTTAAAGAATTCCTCATTTTTCCTGCGCCAGCGAATACATAATTTATTTTATAACAATTTTTGCAGGTTATGTAGTTTGCAAGTTGCATGAACATAAAACAGAAACAGTAATGCGGAATACGCATGCGTCAGATTAATGGTTAGAAGATAATCCTCAAACCATTCTGATAGATTTCAAACAGGTTTGAATCTTGGATGGAACAGAGAACTGATAGTTCACTAATGGTTGGAAACTCACGTTGGAACGCAATCACATTACTGCGCAGAATCGTGACTGTCAGAAACTGTTTCTGACGCTGGTTGGAACGAACCTATATTCAAATCATTTCAAAAAATTATGTTGCACTGTAATAAGATAACTTTCATTATTTAAAAATTTTCCGTCTCCTGAATTAGAATCTCATAGATATTTTTTTTTCAGAAATTCCATGATGAAATGCAGTGTTCTATATGTTCTGAAATGTTTGTCAAAGCAGTAACATTGAACTGTTCACACACTTTTTGCAAATTTTGTATTGAAGCTTGGAGGAAAAAGAAGGACATCTGTCCAATCTGTAGATCGAAAATAACATCAATTTCCCCAACGTTAGTACTGGACAATATTATAGAAATGGTAAAAATATTTTCATAAATCCAGGAATGATTAACAAATATGACTAATCAAAGCACCTATTAATAACCACGTGGATTTTGTTCTGATAAATTATTTTTTTTTCATTGTAGGAGATACAAAATTCCTCAGAAGAAGTCAAACAACATAGAAAGGAGTTATTGGAAGAAAGAAAAAAATGTGTAGAACCACAATCAAAACATAAAGAAAAGGAAATCCCAAATAGAGGTAAATTTACAGTAAGAAATGTTTCACAACTTTGGTTGTTTGTGTCTAACAGACGAAATGACAACTATTTATACAGGTGAAATCTTGAGAAACAAATCTACATAGAACAGACTGTGAATGCATGGGTACAAACCATGTTAAAATGGAGGATATAAAAGATATGTATATATAAAAGAGTAAAAGTCAAGTTTATGAACAGTTATGAACAGTAGTCATAAAAAGTAACAACTTAAGAGCTCCTTAATAAGTAAGGATAAAAAATATGCATAAGTCAGTTAAAAGCTATCGTTAAAATATTCATCCAAAGTATAATAGAGTCTATCAGATAGAAATTGTTTGACTAACTTCCTGAATTGAAAGTCATTTATATTGGCAGATCCTTTGTCCATAGGCAAATTATTGTAAATTTTTCCACCGTTGTAAAATATGGAGTCTCTGGTAAAGTTTTTAGTTGGCACAGTGAGTTTCAGAGTGTGTCTGCAGTTTCGGGTGTTGTAATGTGAAGAGAATGCAACAAAATTTTATATATGCTTATTTTTTTAAACACACAGATTCCAGTATAAATAATGCAGTTACCGTTAGAATATTATGTTTTTTGAAGAAGGTTCTGCAGGAGTCTCTTGGTTTAAGGTTTCCTATATACCGTATTGCCCTTTTCTGTAAAATTAATAGACTTATGAATAAAGTTGGACTGCACGCTCCCCAAAACGGTACCACATGGATATTGATACAAATGTTGTATTTTTACCAATTCCAAATCGAAGTATCTTGGGTATCATTATTTTTTCTTTTTCTTGTAGGAAGACCGAATAACCTGAGTGTAATAGAGTTATCCTCAGATGACTCCGACAGTGATCTAACTTCTGAAGCAGATTGGAGTGAAGAATATGATGAAGATAACTGGTAAGTTCATTATTCATTTCTGTTCAAATTGAGTCGGTTAAGCAGTATAATTGAAATAATCTAAATTATTTCAATCAACACAATCACTTCACTTCGCAAGTGATTTCATGTCTCAAACATTTCTTCGGTATAAGTAATTACAAAATTTCTTCAAATGGATTGTATATTTTCAAATACTTGAAATAGTATTGAAAACAGTGAATAATTTATGTTCTTGGAACTTTGCCCTGCACACATACCTGACAGCATGCTTTTGCTGTGTACTCCCCAGAAGGCAGTGCCATATCTCAAAAGCTACAAAGGCCAAAGTAATAAGATCTTGCAAAGATTTTACCTAGTTTTCTTGAAACTGACTTTATAACAAAAAAGCCAGATGCGAGTTTTTTATTTAGCTTTATAGTATGATACTCGAATTAAAGTTTATTATCTATCTGAAGTCATGAGAATTTAGAGGATAATTTGTTATTCAAACTAAGCTGTGGGAGTTCACATTTGATGGTAACGAGATGGTTTTAATGAAGTTTAAAGAAAGCTTGTTAGAGTCGCACCAGCTCTTTATCTTTTCCATATCTTCGGTGGCATCTTGAGCTAGTTTTGAAGGATCTTATCCCTGCCACAGCAAAGTGGTGTCGTCTGCAAATAATGTGATGCTAGCAGTTATGTCCAGTTGTGTGATATCATTATTATTCAATAAAAACAAGATGGGCCCTAGGGTGGAACCTTGAGGGACACCTGCTTTGATTTCTCTCACATTGGAATCTGTTGAAAGTTTCACAAATTGATTCGATGCAATAAGTACGATTCAAACCACCTAGTACTTATGTGCCCAACTTCATAATGTTTCAGCTCCTGCAACAAGATTCCATAATCAACAAGGTCAAATTAATGTATTGTTTTTTTTTCATGGTTAAATTTGTCTCAAAATTACATAGCGATTGTCAAATTATCAATATAACAATAACATTTTTTTTATTAATCTCTCGAACTGAAAGTTGTTGATATTTTTTTTGATGCTTGGATTTTATTCGAAGGTATGAAGAAAATACGACTGGTTACCCAGGGGCTTATTATGGTGGATATGGACACTGTTATAGCTGTGGAAGGAGAGGACACTGGGCTAATGGATGTCCTTTTAGATAACAAGTTTGTTTCTATGTGTAATTATAGCAAAATGTGAATACCTGTAGAGTTATAGTGTGATAGTCGAAAATCTCTGTCATGAAATTTTGTCAGAATCGGAAGTAATCATCAGACTATTTATATTTCTGTACATTTCAGTGTCATCTGTGAATAGTATTATTTACTTTTATATTTTTGTAAAATACATCATCTTTCAAAACATTTTCATTTTTATTCCATTTGTTATGTGTTTAGATTTATTCATTTATTTGTATACATCATGTATATTGGACCATATCAATATCATCTTGGATCTAATGACAATAAACATTATTAGTAATAATATTAAATATCCACTGAAAAACAAGATTGTATTGAATTGTTAAGACAAAATTTGTAACGTTTTTGCTAACAAAAGTTGGCCGAAGATCAAAATCTTGCATTTTCAATACATACAATAAGATCAAATGAATAAATAGTTTCCTTTTTCATTGTGTAATGATGATCGTTGATGTTTTTTTTATTGAAATCTTACAAATGACTAACAGAAAATATGGGTGGTCCCAAATGAATTTGGGATGCTGTGAGAAAAATTGAAAAAAGTATAATTTTTTACAGTTTTTTGGCAAATATCTCACTTGATACTGGGTGATCGTTGATAATTTTTTCAGTGAAATGTTTCGAAATGAATATAGAACTCATTTCCATCTTCAAATCAATTTGGATTGCCGTCGGGAAAGAGCAGTTTCTCGCCACGCTTTTACAAAATCCTGGCACATTGCACCGAATGGAAGCAAAACAAGAAGAGGACTATTTTAATTTTCATTTTTCTTCATATGTCATGTTTCCTGTGCATTAACGAAAGGTAACGTAACAGCCAGCTTAGCCACATGTCTTTCACTACTCGTAAATGACAGAGAGGAGGCAGTTTACTAACTGCCGCAGAGTTGCCAATTAGCATAGAATATATCGTTTCATGAACAGTAGTGGTACTACAAAATTTGAGTTTTTTTAAGATCACTCATTGAAATTATAACACATATGGATGGATTCATTGTTTCATAATGTATGCCGCAAGTTTTGGTTTGTTGTTTCATTCAACAAAATCAAATTACCCTCTTGAACTTAATTTCACCCTCTCGCTCCCCTCAAGTAAATCTACCCCACTCAGATATAAAGCAAAATAATGTAAAATGAAAATTGAAAAAATTAACAAATATTTGAGGTTTGATTTTGAATCTACCGCGTTACACGAGCCGAGTACCCGTGGCAAAATTGACGTAGACTGAGTGTCTGGCACCGCTGGTGGTGGTTCCTTGGGTTGTGTCTTACTGTAAGACTTTCACACCGATAGTTCCGATATGTGACTGAGTACTGAGTTACACTACAATGCTCTTCCAATGATACCGAGTGCCGTGATCATGATCTGTGCGTGTGAAATGTTATTTGATGTTTGTGACATGACATTCGACATTTTTATTAGAAACTAGGATTTATATTTAAAATAATAAACAAACGTCAAACAGTTGTGGAAAGCAGAAGAATAGTGGAATTGCGTGACAAATACTCAAAACAAATAACCAAATATAGACAAGAACAACGGCCAATTTTCTTTTTGAACGAAACTTGGTATAACACTCACGACACAGTTACGAAAGGGTGGACTGATGGTTCGAGAATGTGTACACCTAACAAGCCTGCAAACAAAGGATCGCAACTTATCATTGTTCATTGGGAGGAAGTAAATGATGGGTTCAAATTCTTTGAAGTGATATGGAAAAAATCTTGAGGACTGCAATGTTGACTATTATAAGACCATGGAAGCTAATATTTTCGAGGAATGGTTTGGAAACACATTGATCCCAAATTTGGATTCGATGACATGTGACTTATGTTTTTGATTACGATCGTCAAATTGATCATGGAACAAAGAACGACAATCATAGGTATACGTCAATGCATCACTGTGATTGGTGTCATCAAGTGAATGTGGATACATCCCGGTTCTACCCCGCTCCCTTTCAGAAATCTACCTCGATGAAAAGATAGCTTGTGGCAACACTGATTCTCTGTCATTTACGGGCATGATCATCGACATAACTTAATCGGTTATGTCGGTGGGCATGATATATGTGGCAAAAATATTGTGGCTTAACTATCTGTTAGGTTACCTATGGTTTGTGGTTACCTTTTGTTAACTAACGGCTAACAGCACTGATGTGATGAAAGTGGTCCTCTCAAGAGTATTAATTATTATTTAAAGTTGAAATTATTAGTGTCATTATATGAATATAAATACAATGAGTGCGTGGACAGTGGAAGATAAGAGAAAACTTCTGGTTGCCCTTCATCAACATGGAGCCAGCAACCTGGAATTAATTCAAGAGCATTTACCCAACAAAACCATTTCCGAAATTGAATTAATCTGCGAAGAATATACACAACTTGCCTTGAGAAAGTGGCATAGTAAAAGAGACGATAGAAAAGATCCCGCAATCAAAAATTGGCTTCAAGTTATGAAACGAATCAAAATATCCCAAAAGAATTCTTTACACGATGTAGTGCCCAGATTATTAAAATATATCGCACTATTCGAAAAAAGATGTGATTTATCCAACATAAATTTAAAAGATTGTTACTTGGTTTTATCAGATTTATCTAATGGAAAAGCATCAATGAAGATGGAGGAATGTAGTGAATATTTCTTTTATGAGTGTTTGACTAAATTAGCAAAGTCGATGAGAAGTGAAGAAATTCGTTCTTTTAAGTCTTATCTCAAGTCATTGAAGACTTTGAAAGATTTAAATGCTAATCGATTGCAAGGAGTAAATTCTAGGAGGGAATGTTCCATTGTGTTGAACCCCTTGGGCATACCAGATGAATTTTTGGAAATATCTAGTTCAGAAAATATACTTTGAAGATAATGTAGATTGAACTGTAATGAATATGCCATCAATTTATGTAATGCACTTGTTAGTCCAGCCAACTGAAAAAGTGCCGATTCATATTGGATCACATATTTTAATAGTTAACTTTGATCTCTGTACAGTATTTAGTTTAAGCCTAGTTGAACTGTATGAATTCTGATACCTGAAAAAATATAAAATTATGTTTTCTGCAAATTCTTTATTTTTCCTTAGATTTATTTTTTCAAGTACGAAACATAAGCAACAGGAAACTTCTTTAAGGCGCTCTAAGAGCGGTGCCTGAATCTGGTGTTATATGTTCTTTAAAATATTTCACTGTAGACGTATTGCCACATTCAGTTTAAGTTAAAAGTCGTTGATATCACAAAAATAACATTGATGAAAATTGATGCTGACAACATTTTGAAATTTTATGAATTTTTTCGCTTGTGCACTTGTATTAGAAACATTCCCACAAACATTGATTAATCAAATTCATTAATGTTCAATGAAAATGATTGAAAATACTAACTGTTCTTTCTAGGTATCTTGTTATTAGATAAGCCCTAACACAATTTCCAAATATTTTTCAACATATTTATCCTGTATATACGATAATGAATCAAGTTTTAATATTGAGATAAGCATCAAGAAATTGTGCATTTCAAATTGAATCTAATACTGCTTTGGAGCAATAGAAAGTGATTTAAAAACATTGGTCGACTTTATACCCACCAACAAAATATAAATGATTTTCCATAAAATGTTAGAGAATTAATGACATATTTTTGTTTTTTTGAAGTATGTATATAGAATTTGTAAGAAATGTAACTGACAAGATGGGTATATCTCTGTTTTGATTTATTTTGAAAAGTTTTTTGATTTCAGAACAGTGAAAAACCCATGAATGGAAGGAATGTGATTTTTTTATGTAGTCAAACACAGTTAAAATTCACATTATTATTGATCACATTCACATGATCATATAACAACTGGAATTCTAACATCCACCACCTATGAAATAGTCCAACGGATTGAGCATAACTATGCCTCTACCTTTATGAAATCTGTCTCATGATTTCTAACACAACACATTTGACTAACTGTTCATAAATTTATCATATGTAATACGAGCTGACAAAAATGATGTTTACATGAATATTAATGTTGGCTTCCATAACATTGGTTGTTAGTAATCCTCCTCCAAGATCCCATGAAAAAGTCATTGAAATTCTGTACAGACTTATTCAACGGAAAGTAATTTTCGAAGTCGATAAATATATTTGAAAAATAATTATATAAGGCATAACAATAACATCCTAAAAAAATTTCACTCCTTGGACATCATCATCCAATATCACTTCACACTTTCTCTCCTTTTCTAAAAACTTCAGTATCTTTATCAATACACCCTGATGCATTCCATAAAATAATTCCTCGGCAAAATCTTCCCCTTGTGTCAGTTCATATAGAGTAACTACAGTATTTGCCATGCCTCGGTCACAAATGGAATTATAAATTGTTGATGCCCATTCTTCTATCGTGTGCCAGTAAATTTCCCATCGATTCTTCAGTTTATCAATTGGTGCGGCATTTCCAGTTTTCTGCAGCTCACCAAATATTGATATGATTACGCTTTGTTCCAACTTTCTATTGATAGAAGAATTATTGAACAGAGGTATTTGACTAGCTTCTCTAACATCTATAATATAGGTTCTACTTTTATCGCAATAATTCAAGATTAAAGATTTCCAAGCTGCGACTTGTTTAGATCTTGTTTCAGGGTGTGGCTGAAGAGTAAAAAACGGTGGGAAATTATACTGCCACGGCCATTCGATGTCTACTTCACCCATTTTAATTTAGTATTCTTAACTTTCTTTGATCTATCACTGGAAATTACCAATTTCTATTTAGAATTTTCTTAACCTTAAAAATTCTGTAAAATGTTCAAAATCAAAACATCCATCGGTGGGTGGCTGTGACGTCACTCATGCATTCAATGGATTGTGATAAGAGATGAATAAGATATGTTCCAAAAGAAACCATAAACATAGTTTGGTGGTTCTGAATCGCCACTATATAGTGAAATACCACCACAGACCATGATACCACTGAAAAACTGGTTTGTATGAAACATGGTTTCCTGCAAAATTGGTGGTGGTGTGGTGTAACAATTGGCAGATGTCAGATTTGAATTTGGAATATTAGAACAAGAAAATTAGAATAAAAACTTCCTATGTTGTTATACCACTTGCATTTGTTACTAACGTTACTGCAGTTTCACCTACAAGGACATTTTCAAAAGAATACAATAAACTATAACGTAGGAAGTTTCAATCTTCATTTTTCATGATAATCTTCTTTCACGTAGTAACGGGTATATTCATCAATTGATCCTCAAAACCTCTGTTACATTTATTGTTTTGAGGAAAAACAAAAAATATGTTATATATTACATACCCAGATGAGTAGAATAATATGATTTTCACATTATTTCATCATATACATTTTGATACATTAACAAACCTTTTTGAAAGAGCCTTCCCTGAACGTAGGTGTATCCCAAAATTAAGTCTGAGGTGAAGAGGTCTATCTCTGTTCCAACCATGTTTCTCAAAAAACATGGTGTTACTGTACCAGAAACAAATTATTATAATACCATTCTACCAATATACTGAACTCAATTTCCCTTTGTCTATATAATACTATTCCTACTTTATTGGAACTATGAAGCACAATTCATTGAATTCATTTTATAGAAAACATTACAAATGGACCTAACACTAATAGAATCTATTTATTTCATCCTGTTGAGAAAAGAGAACATATTCCAGAATACACTCGATTATATGAATAGCATTTATTCCTCACTTCATTTTGTACTCTGAAACATTTGGAACTGGATAATGATCTAGTTATTAAACCCAAAAATTGTGAAGAAGAATTTGTCCGGTCAACCCCACAAAATCCGGGACATAGGTTAAGAGTAAAAATAGTATTTTTTTTCTATCAGCTGATAAAATTTTGATATCAAATGTGGCCTGTTTTCTTCACAGCACTGAGGACGTACGCTCCTTACATTACTCTTCCGTTTGCTGGGTTAATTGGAGTCATTGGATATAATCTGGAAAATTGGTTCTCTGATAAATATACCCCTTACAATAGTAAGATAATTGATAATTTATATTTATATGGGGTTTGTGAAACAATACCTAAAAACTAAACCTGATAACAAGTGACCAAGACTTCTAAGAACAGGTTTATGTGCACGGTAACATAACCACAATTATTCCTTTGATGTGTTAACACTGAAAATAATTTAATATAAATTAAAAAAAGTGTTAATGGCAGTGGTAAATACTTCTAAATACTTCAATTTCGTGCATGCTTATTTTTGCTTTAAACCAAGCTGTTAGCCATTAATTAAATGTTGGCCCACTTTTCAAGTTTCTATAAACCCTTTCATTGATTTTTGGTCGAGTTTTAATCTGCTGATCGATTCTAATCAAGATTTAATTACATATCATGGTGAAATATTAACAAAATACAGTATTGAAATGATTATAGTATTCACTTCAAATTCAGGGAGTTCTCTTGTTACATGATGTAACAGGTAGAACTGGAACTTCTATTAGAGACTGTATAATGAACAATTCGAACCATACGTCAAAACTATAGTCTCATCTAACAAGTTGACATCATCAGAGGAACATGATGTTTTTTTTGGCTAGGTGAAATAACAAATTGAACTTGTGAATCCACTGATATACTATGTAGTTTCCACCTCTACCTGATAACCAAGTTTTAAACTTATATATCTGGAACCAAAAAAATAAGCAAATGGCAAATAATTATTAATTAGCCAATCTTATCTGCACAAGACCTTCTGAGTACAATTTCAATAATGTTAATAATGAGAATAATTTTCATGAAAATTGTATACTAGAATATTTCATTTAATAATTACTTAAATAGAAACAGTCATAAATTGAATTGCTGTTGATCATTCACCACTCAGAAAATTTGTGGGCTATTAATATAAATGAAACTAATATATAGGTTATATATTTTTGCTTTGGTTTTTATTTTTAGAATCAATTGAAGAGCAACGTCAAGAGAGATTGTTAGAGGAAGAAAAACTGAAAGCTGCCGAGAATGTGGAGAAGTTAAAATATAAAGCTAATGTTCTCAACACAAACGTATCACCTTCATTATCCTAATTGTCTAGTTTATATTCAAATTTATGACTGATGTTTGTCAACAGATACATTCCTATACATTGAACCTATACTATAACCTGAAATATCTAATTAAGTGTAAAGGAAAATGAAAAAATGCATCTCTTTACTCATGAGTCAACAGTTTTGATCTACGTTTGATAAGTACTATTTTGATATATAAACTATACTTTTTGGGAGGAATTCACAAAAAGATCCGTTTCAGAAATACAGGGTGATGAATGTAAAAAATGAAAATGGTGTTTTTCATCATCATTCAAATTTGTGATTCATTTCAAAATGAATCAGGATAAAGTCTCTTCTTTCTTCAATATTTTCTGAATCTCCAGTTGAATGAACATACTTGTTCACATCAATGAAATTCAACCATTTCAAGGGTATTTGAGATTTGTTATGATTCCTTCCAATTGATTTGAATGTTCAAGAAAATGAAAAATTATATTGGAATACATATTTTGTTGAATCGAACTTCTTAAATAAAATGAAATTGATAAAGCTGCAGTTCACTTATGTATTGTTGTAGTGAACATATTTTCAGGGAATTTCAATCTCAAACACAAGTTGTGAGGTCATTTTCAATGCGCCTGAGACTTATTTCCTTTGCAAATGTTCACACATGTATACAGTAAAAGCTCTGTTAACTGAACTCAGGTCAACTCAAATGGTTACATGAACAAAATAAACTAGTGGATACCATAATATATGATACTCTGCACAGGTAATAATACAATAAATTGAAATACGCTCACATTGTTTGAAAATAAAGAAAAGTAAAACCTACAGAAATCGTTTGTTATTCATTTCTCCCGCCCACACAATTTCAGTTAGATGTTGATGAATTGATAGAGGAAATTTGTTATCTGAAACGCAATAAAACTTCAAATTAACTATGGTCCAAAAAATTCAATTTAAAAATCACAGGTTTCAATTTGGCAAGAGTTGCCTGTATATTAATGTAGTTCATTTTATAAAACAGTATCATCTATGTATATTTAACTATTCTCCACGATATTTTACTATGTTATTTTCAGTTTCATGAACTTCAACTTCATATAATAATTCTGGATTTTTCATAACTTCTTTCATTCTCATCCAGATGAAAATTGATACATTTTCTGTTGTACTGGGCCTGGTAAAAAAATATTCAACATCCTTGTCTAAATTCTTATGGTCCATCGGCTTCATAATTGCTTCTTCCATGTATTTTTTCAATTCAGTCATATTCAGTATCATTCCAGTTTCAACATGGACTTCTCCAAATAAAGTTACTTTCACTAAAATATAACAATAAATATTTGATTAGGATTTGAAAATCCTTTTCGAATTTTGCAGGATTACAACCTATATAGTTATGTCCATGCCCATTTATGTGGTTACACTTTCCATATGTAGCTTCATTTTCCGAATCTGTTAAATGAGGACTGCAAATAAAAAAAGGGTTTATGTTTTTATAGTCATTTAATAATGTAAATTATGGAATTTTTATTTTCGTTACTTAGACAACAAACATATTCAAACTCAAAATAACTCTATCTACCTGTGCAACCTATGGCATGCTGAAAATTGAATTTTTCTAGTTTGATACGCTTTTGGACTAAAAGTACAGCTCATTTTTATAAACTGTTAGTGACTAAGATACCGATACCGGTAGTGCATAAAATGAAATACGTGTGTTTATGTTATTATTCATTCTATTGGTAGGTATTCTCGGCTATTACATTCTTGGTGTGTCTCTCTATAGGTTTTCTTGGCCTTTGCTTATGTACGGCGCATTTAGCCAATTTTGGTGGATTGGTACTCGAAATCAATGACATGTAACATATTTGTCCAATATCGATAGATTTAAGATGTCGTGTTCCAAAAGTAACCAGAAATGTGTTTTGGTGGTTCTAAAATCATCACTATTGTGGTACTACTGAAACGACTGAAAATTGGTAAAGTGGTGAAGCAAACCAATAGCAAACGTCAAAATATTATACGATTTCATTGTGGTGGGAGTGACTATTGGCAAATGGGTTTGAATATGAAATATTGGAATGGGTGATAGTTTAAAGGTACCTAGGTCAATCATTGTAGAAAATCACCTTATTTCTCCCTTATCTGCGAAAATAATGGTAGAATTTTCTCAAAACCAATAATTTCAGAAAACATTTTTTGTGCGCAATTATTATACAATTTTTTTTTTGCTTTCTGTGTAATAAAAATGTATAGATGAATTAATTTTTTCCTGAGTTTTCATTGATGTTTTTTGTAAGAAGTAGAAATGAAAAAAATTGTTATTTTATAAAGAGTAGGTATTATTCTGGCAAACCCCTAGAAAAGCTATTGGCTATATATTTTCAATACATGTTAATGAGCTAGCAAATACAATAGTTCGTACTCGTAAGTATATAATTTTCTGTAAAAAATTCTTTTCAAATATTATTGTACATAACATCTAGTTATGTTTCACACCTCCTTTAATTACATGAAATAAAGTTATGACATTTTTCCAGAAAATAAACATTAAACTTTTATCAATTCTAAACCGAATATTTATAAAACAGAAACAACAAAAGCAGGTGGGTTACCGTATTGAACTCAAATTTCCCTCCTAACCTAACTCGCAGTGTATTACAAAGACGGTCGGATTCGAGCGGGCAATAAGTTATGTGCCCACTATTATAGTCTCGATTTGTTTTCATTTATGTTCTATAACAGGGACTAATTATAGTTAAATAAATCATGGATTCAACGTAAATCAGGAGGATATATTAGGACCATCGTCATGGCTTGCTTCTTGGAATGTTTGACAATCTAACAACAAAGTGACAATTTTCACTTTTTGTTTTCAATTTCGTCAAAACTACTAGTGCGCTTAAAATTAAATTGTAAAATGTATTCAGTCCGATTTAAACCAACAAATTTTGCTGTACAATGCTTCAAAAACTGCAGAACCTATTACACAGTTAAGAGGAAAGTTGTCAAAGATGAAAATTATGTTGCCAGACAGATATATCAAAAAATCAAAGTGAAAGGTCCCATGACAGTAGCCGATTATATGAGGGAAGTGTTGACAAATCCCATGGCAGGATATTATATGCATAAAGATATGTTTGGAGAAACTGGGGATTTCATAACTTCTCCAGAGGTAACACAAATGTTCGGAGAGATGGTGGCAGTCTGGTTACTGAATGAATGGCAGAAAATGGGATCTCCAAAACCTCTTCAGATTGTTGAACTGGGACCTGGTAATTTCAGAGTTATATGAAAACCATATAAAAATATTGTTTTTGTGATATGTTGCATGTGTTTGATGCATAAAAATCAAGAGAAACCTAATGTAATCAATTACTTAGCGACTATCACCTCGATTATAAAGAGCTTTATTTTAAAGAGCTTCCTTCCTTCTTTTAAAGTTCTTGCAATTCCTGTCTTCTTAATCATAGTCCATCATTATTTCCATTACTCATAGGATTATTCCATATCAAATTATTAGATTTCAATCAATGGATACATACCTTTGTGATTATGGAAAGAAATCCAAATTTGTGTTATTAGGAATTAATGATTTCAATTCAACTATAAAAATTAATATAATGAGGAAATTGAACAAGTGCAAATATCTGGGAATTATTTTAGATCAAGAGTTGAATATGAATGCAAATGTAAAAAATTTCAAAATGGACATTTTCAAAATAATACAATGAAAGTTTATTGTATTAGTTTGAAAATGTCCATATAGGACGAAACTGCAGTAACGTTAGTTACAAATAAAAATGGTATAAAAACATAGAAAGTTTTATTTCTCATTTTTCATGATGATCTCTTACCACATAGTAACAGCTGCATCCATAAATTTATTCGAATTATATACATTGTATGCCGGAAGGTACATGTGGGTTTCTATAAAAAATGAAACGCTCTGTATGCATACATCATTTACCTAATACATAATATCAATTTGAAGGTAGAGGAACTTTATCATACGATATAGTGAAAGTCTTCAGCCATTTTAAGGCTCTGCACAAGGCCAGTTTGCAGCTTGTGGAAATCAGCCCCGTCCTGAGCGAACTACAGGCTAGAAGATTATGTGATAAACATACAATAGTCAATGAAAAAATGGTAGTTTACAGAAAAGGTAATATTAATTTGAAATATTCGAATGAAATCCATCAACCCCAAGTTTTTATGTAGGAAGCAGTCCCCATGATATACCGGTGCAATGGTTTAGACAACTTAGCGACGTACCAAATGCCTTCACTTTATTGATAGCACATGAGTTCTTTGATGCCCTTCCGATTCACAAATTCCACAAAACGTATAGTGGATATAAGGAAGTTCTTATCGATATCGACCCTGCCGCTGAAAAAAACCCTGAGAATACCGAACCAAAATTTAGGTTGGTTGATACTATTCTTGATATTTCTTCAAAGTTGTGGTTACTGATTTAGACCAGTAGACGATAATTCTAAAGTGTTTGTTCATTTATTTAATGAAAATTCAGTTGAGTTCAAATGAATCGATTTTTTCAACTGGAAAATTCTGGAGAAACAAGCAAATTTTGAAAGATGAAATATTTTTCATAATTTCTGCCATAGTCATATAAAAGAATATTGAATTACATTACACATACAGCTGACTCAACTTGATAATTGCACCCTGAGTCCCAGACACTCTCCTTTGCAAGTCAGGAAAGCGCTTCATTTTCTATATGAAACATTTCATACCTATAATTGAATTCATGTTCCTTTGTTCAAAGATTTTCGTTTTCCACTTGAAAAATTGAGTAGATATTCCTTCATCCCTCACAAATAGATGTACCTATGAAAAATAAAGCAAGATCTACGTAATAAAAAAATCTATACTCTAAGAATCCTAATATTAATCTGAAACACATTTCTACACAGACATTAACACTGAAAAGTACATTCAAATAATAGGAAATCAATATGAACATTTCAAAACATAGTATTATCAATATGTCCAAGTACACTACCTTGTGGTACTTCTGTGATGACTGATATTTCATTTAAAAAACATTTTACTCTTGTTTTTGGTCTTCAATTTGAAAGATAACTCTGAAACCACTTGTAGACTGCGCCAATTAAATGGTAATATTCGAGATTCAAAAAATATCACTAAAGAAAATATCTTTAAAGAAAAATAAAGATGATTATTATTATTAATTGCTAATTATCGATATATATTATTGATTTCTAAATTATTTTGTACCTAGATTAGGATTAAATTTTTTAGTTCAAATATACATGAACATTAACTTTTTACTAGGTACGTCCTTTCCCGAAATGAAACCCCCATGTTGAAAAGCCTGCTCAAACCGAATGAAACCAGAGATCACTTTGAGGCATCTCCCGACTGCATGCTCATTTACAAACAGATATGTGAAAGATTAAAGGCAACTGGAGGGCTCGCTTTGATTTGTGACTACGGCCATTATGGAACAGGCACCGATACTTTTAGGGCGTTCAAGAAGCACAAACAGGTTGATCCGTTAGTGATGCCTGGAACTGCGGATTTGACTGCTGACGTTGATTTCAAAACTATTCGTGAGGTAATTAAACTAACAGTTGAAAATGGTAGTTTCTTTCAATAGTTCTCATCATTGTGTTACCTCCCAATTAAGTAGGTGACACGATTTCTTTCAATAATCGTCAACCCGATACAAACGTCCATTTCTTTCTTTGCATACGAAAAACTCCCAACTTATTAGGAAAATTTACTATCAGATCAGTAATGAAATAAATTTATTTGAATAGGCAAGCCTAATGTAACATAGGATATACCTTAGAAACTAATAGCATGATAGTTTTCACAAACAATAAGATGCATTCAGCTAAGCTAGCATTAAGATACTCAACATATGGAAACCTGTAATCAAGCGGAAAACGTCATCTCCCGCTAAACCGGTGAAGCGGGGAGAGGGGATAGGTGAAAGCGCTTGAATGACCTATAAATAGTCATCTCTTGGAGGAATAGTCCAGTCATCACCTGAAGACGATTGTGGATACTAATAATCGAAACGTCGTGAACTAAATTGGAGGGTATTTGTGTTTTTTAATTATTTCTTTTCTTTTATTCTTTGAAGTGCTATATATACCAGATTTTTAACAAGCTTTGTCAATAAGATTGTATTTTCTTGGACAATAAAGTATATGTCTAACTATCTATCTATTGTTCGACAAAATTGATGTTTTAGCTATTCATTCTGATTTTATTTGTTCTCTCATAGATTTCAAATCATAGTAGAATCATATTAGACTACGGAAAGCCAAACTAATGAAATGTTTTCCATAATGATGTACCTTATTATTGAAACATATAAATTTTCTGAAATATGCGAAATAGCTTGTAACCATTATTCATTTCAGAGATGAAAGTCATAGCCAAATAATACAATTACGATATAGAACCATAAGCATTCCATGGTTCTGAAGAGTTGGTGTTTCTCTTCCAACGTAACACAATATTCAAAATGAGGTTTTATTGTACAATTATAACTTGCTATTTGCGCACACTGACAATAAAAATATCGTGACAATGAAAATGTCGTGAAAAAGGTACGACATATTTTTCTACATTTTCTTCTTCCTATACAGTGTCAAATATCCGAAAAGCATACAATTTTTTTTTAATGAAAGTCAGGACTATAGTTACTGAGATATTTTTTATCGAGTTTCCATAGGAAAAATTACCATTTGAAGGATTGAAATTTTGTTTCTGCGCCACTCTCTACGTTTTTAATATTGTCTTTCATTTTATTCATTCACTGATGTTTTTGTAGGTGGCAAATAAAGTGGAGGGTATTATAACGATGGGTCCTGCGAACCAAAGAGATTTTCTACTCAAAACCGGACTTGAATATCGTTTCAAAGCTCTCAAAGAACAAGTGAAGGATAAGAAACATCTGGAAAACCTCACGGAATGCTACAAAATATTGACGGACAAAGACAAAATGGGTGAAAGGTTCAAATTCTGCGCACTTTTCCCTGAAACCATGAGAAAAATTCTCGACAAATGCCCTGTCGTAGGATTCAACCAGTTCATACCATAAAATGTGGCGGTGTACTTTACGGGAAGTTTGTTCACCCCCGTTAAACTGTGATAAAATGAAAAAACTGAATTGTGCGTCGAAATCTTTATTACTTTCTTCTACTGTATATGATACTTTTAAAATGCCTTTGTAAAAATAGTCGTATCAGGAGAAACTGTTAAGTTACAGATTCGTTGTTATAAAGTAATTTATTGAAACAACTTTTTTTTCTTTGTGCAAAATATCAGTTCTGGGTTACTTTCATAGCGAACCCTCGATAAGAACAATATATGGACAATTTTGAAACAATTGATTCCACTGAGTAATTTTCTAGGACGTTTTTCAACTGTTATTATTCTGAATCTTCCTTTGACATATCCTTCTTTACCAAATTATTCGTGGTCACTACCATCTTACTGACCGTAAATAATTCTATTGGAACTTCTTTTATATAATCGTCAAAGTTATTCAATTGCGTAGTCGCTTTATAAGAAGGCTCCCTGCTCAAAATATTTAGTGCACCACTTGACACTGTTGCCCTGGAGTTCGAAGATGCTGAAAAATTAAGGAGAGTACCAAAAATGATCATACTTTTCTCTGTTCAATCAGCCTGGGAAAATACGAAGGTATGGTATGGTATTCCCCTATACTTGATGAAAATCGATAAGGTATTCAAATAAAACTTTATTATGAGATTTTTACTGGATAGTTTATGAAACCGCAACACGTGTTTCGCTATAAAATAGGTGTATCAAGCGTTATCATATTGCCACATTTCATCTCCTGTAAACGGGAGATTTGCTCTACGCCAGAAGTTCCAGCTTCACTTTTTATTTTCATAGTGACTGAGTTCTACCTAATTTGGCATCATATGATAATAATTAGAACTGTACAACCTTCTACCTACGTAATGACTAATAATTTTACTAGAGTTTAGGTAAAAGCTAATTAAAAATTTTTAAACATCATCAAAAATAGTTTACTATTTGCAATTTGTGCTTTATATAATAATAATTTGAATCATATAACTTTCTTGATTGAAAATTTAAACATTATAAAAGGAAATTTTACCAACTCATCAAACGGACATGTAACAAACTTATTACCAATTCCCAGATACAGAACAAGTGAACAATTCAATTCTATTTGGTCATTCAGTCAATTTTCGAAATTCTTAAGACCAATGATATTAAGCATTCCAAAAGATTGACTTTTAAACCTTTCTCTTCGAAATGTCTCTCTGTCAAAAGATGGTTGCAAATGTTGAATTAGTCTTTACATTCAAAAAACTACATCTAAGTTCTTTCATTCTTTGGGAAAGGTTTCTCCCCATTTGGCCAATATACTGTTTTGGGCAAAAACCACAAGTCAAGATGTTGAATCCACAATTACAGCAATTGCAGACTTGTGTAAGAATATTAATGTTGCACTCAATTGGAAAGAACGCCCGAAAGCCTTATACTTTGTAACGTATTTGAAACAATTGATCATACACTCCTACTTGAAAAATTGAACCGTATTGAAGTTAGAGGTGCTGCAAATTATTGAATTACTTCACACTTGAAAGATAGGAAACAAGTAGTAGTGATGGTGTACCACAAGGATCTATCTTAGGTCCAGTTCTATTTATCATCTGCATGACATGATACATTCCTGTCCTAGTGCAAAAAAAATATTTATGTATGCTGATGACACGAATATACTGGTCTCCCTAACACACGGAATATAGTAGTAAGGGCGAATGTCGCCACAAATGAATTTTATAAATTGTGTCTTCATAATGGACTGTTGGTAAATGCACCCAAAACTGTTTGATAAAAATCAAAAGAAGCATTGAACAACTGACTTTCATTAAAGTTCTTGGAATTATTATGGACCAATAGATGACATGGAAGGAATACATTGATGCTTATTAGGTCCATCAACCTTTCTCCTGACTAATGATAATGCAAAACTGTCATGTTTATCAAGGTATGAGGTGTTATAGTTGCTTTAAGGAACTGTTCTTTTACTTACGACCTGATAATAGTTTTTTTAGTGTATACTTATTTTTCTGTATTGTAGGTTCTGTTATGACTAGTCAAATACATTTATATGATGTGTCTTTTATACATTTGTATGGACTTCGCTGATAAATAAATTTGATTTGATTCAGTTTTTTCTGAAAATTACTTTCTAACAGTCGAATATTCAACAGTCTGTTGAGCACACTATTGAACACTAATATTTTATGTTGATAGGAATGTGTCGAGGAATTATGTATGACAATGTCGAACTCAACTTTATTTCACTGTTAATCCAACAAAACACTGACTAAAACTTCAACTATTTTTCAAATTTCTATCGCCTTATTAAATCACTTCGTACGACACTGTCCGCGAAACTTGACTGTTCGGATAGGCGAGTGGATCGCGTTTATATTTGGCAATCGAAGGCGGTAGAAAATTCGTCGCAATTCATCGAAGCCGGTAGCATTATTGCCACGTCTAGAACGGCGGCGAACATCGGTGAACCGCGAAATGTCGGTCGGACTGGGCGCACGTCACAATTGGTTTATGGTTACCAGTGGCGGCCGGCGTCATTTTTTTTAGGGCATGATTTATAACAATATCATAATTGTTCAGTGAAACGCGTGTTGCAATTTTGTAAACTGTTCAGTGGAAATCTCACAATGAAGTGTTGAATCTAAACTCGAAATTTAACAAAATCATTATCATTAAATTTTGTTAAATTCTGACTTTGAATCGGAATGTAGTGAACTTTATTTTCAATAAAATGTGATATTCTTCTTTACTCTTGTAGGAAAAAATGTCTCAAATTAATTTTTGAAAACCAGGAGTTTGCCATAGAGTTCAAAACTTTCGCTGATTATAACCATTTTGAAATTAAAATTATTTGAACCACTTACTTGTCGAGCTGTGATTATGAGTTCTCTCAAATCTGGGCAATTCTATAGCAGGGGTGTTTTTAGCTAGAGACCAGTTCAACACGTTTTCAATCATGACATTCCTTTTATCATTTTCCTCTATATTACTGGGATTATCACTCTGAGTAACATTTTTATGAAGAACTGTTCGATTGTACATTCCTAAAAATATTTAGTTTTCCATATTATGGAGCTGTCAACTCCAATGGTCAGCCAAACATAAAAATAGATAGTAGTTTCATATTTTAACCGCAAATTGAGTTGTAGACAAAATACCTACTTGGTTATGAAATTTATTCATAACTCGTGTAGATTTTTTCAACAAACTAGAAAGTACCTTCAAATATTTCTTCAGTTCTTCTAGTCAGCGGAATGATAACAGTTTGTTCCCTTATTGTGGCAGACGGTTCATAAATGTGGTGACCGAATTGTTCCATAGTACTTGTACCAGCATTTCCCCCTATTTCCATAATTCCTATCTGAGTGGTTCTCACGTGATATGGAAAATTCTTATTTGCCATCGATGGCGTTGTTAAAATCTGGAAAGAATGAAAAACAGTTACATAAAAATAAATTACAGTTATTTGTTTCAACTTTCCAAAAATGTTAGATGTCCTCCAAAAGAAATAAATAAAAGTACAGCAAAAACAACAGACTCTCGAATCCACTTATCTATATAGATATTCGCTGATAATATAAATGCTGGACCTGCTATAAACCAGATTGTTCCAAAAATATTGAAAGGATAATAAAAGTTTCCCTGAAAATGAAGTTTTTAAATTCTTCAGTTGCATTTTCGAAATTCATACCTTTTCTGGGTAATGTTTGAGGGTAAAAATAGTAGAGTAGATAAACATGCACCAAGCTACAATTCTCAGTATTATCAAACCATATCCCGCTGGTGATTCGTATAAATACAATACTTCCCCTGGGTCAAAAACCTTGAAAAACCATTGGTTAATGGAAAATTATTGCATAACGGGAAATAGGCACTCACTTTCGCTTCATAAATAAATATCGCTACATAAGTTACAGAATAGATACACATGAAAATAGTCAATTTTATGCTGGCAGGTAATGGGAGGCGACCTCTGGTTATAGTGAAACCCTTCGCCAAAAGTAACAACAGTAGAAGAAAACTTGTTTCCGATGCTCCCATTAACATCATGCCTGGAAATTCCAGTAATGTACAGATTCCACATTTCACTGTAAACGTTTCTATCTTACCAAGCCTCTTCACTTTGACCGCTATAAATCCTGTCATGGCTAGTTTCAAATAGCAAGAGCTCACGAACATTATTCCAAAAAGCTGCAACACGACAGAGAGAACAAATATTTTGTAAGTTGTGTGTAACAGTTGCCTCGACTTCAGTTCGATCGAACATACTACTATTCCTAACATTAGAAAAGAGTAAGATACAGCAAATGCCATTAGCACCGGAAGGATATCTGAAAAATAAACTGAAAAAACTGCTATGCAGACACTTTTGTTCACTTACAAAATTCGTCAGCAGAAAAATGTTCGTGCCAATAATCACCAGGTGCACCATTTGTCATCAAGATTTTATACTTTATGTCGATGCCCTGAAATAACGAGGTTGTACAAATAAAACTCTAAATTGGTTATTTTTCTATTCTGTCCCACTTCTGCTACCATTATAACTTGATGTTAATAAAACGATTTAGTGACACCTATTCCATTGTTACTAAACAAATTTGCGCGTACCTTTGTCCCATCGCAATTACTAACTGCTATAAACCACCACCTTTCCCTTGAACTCCTAAATCTCCTGGAATTGTGACATGTGATTGTTCGACCACGTCTTACGTAATTAGTTCTTCTATCAGAGTTTGGAACCGATCTCTTTTTTATCAAATGCTCCTGTGTTGTTCCCAAAGACTAGAAAATTATAAGCTTAATGAAATTGTTTTTTCAATTGAAATCCTTACATATTGTGTAGTTGAATCGTCTTCAGATTCAAAACTGAACGCGATTTCTGTAGTTTCTTTCATCAATTCGTGTTCATAGAAATTCTCCAAAGAATAAGAATTCGTTGTACTCACTGTAGAGGTGTCCTCAACATTTTCTGAAGAATAAAATTGAGATGAACTGTATTCTGTTGAACTTGCCTCTTCTACGGTACTTGATGCCAAAGTGTCCACGGTATGAAGCATAGCTGAAAGAAGCTTATAAAATCTGAGTACTTAAGTTCGAGTTTTTAAGACCTACTTGTTTCCGTTGTAACCGTCCTATTGACTGAGGGTAGTGTTGGAACTACAATAGTGTAAGTTTTGATTGTTGTACGGGGCTCTTGTGCGAAATAACAACCCGAGAGGTCCCTATAGACTTCCAAATATGCTGTGAGGTTTACTATTTGATTCTGGCCTCTGTTCAAAGCTGATTCTTTCTGTTCACAAGTCTGAAAATGAGTCTTATTATTTCTGTGAAGTGTACAGTTTTCCTGATACCTTATTGGATTTATACACCGATGGCCATTGATCGTCCGTATCATAATATAACAGTAAATTTAGGTCACCTTGATCTTCGTTAAACTCAATTTCATATTCAAACTCCCCGTTTTCAGATAAAAAGCAGAATCTTGTCAAAAATGCCCAATTCTGAAAACGAAATGCCCATATAAATAAAAATATCTGTTATCAGAATCAATTTATATTCATTCTCTGCTTTGATCCCTTTATAAGTGTGATTATTCTTGAATATTATTACAAAAATTATGGTTGATGATTTGAGTTGATGTTTGAACCGTGACTTGTTAGTTCATCCACGTCATTATTCAAAAAGATCATTAGTTTTTGCGGGAAATTACATGTATAATAGGTATGCATTTGAAAAATCTTCAGTAAATTAACAAAATCAGAGGTATAAATGATAAATAAGAAAGGTTAATGTATAGAACCGTGGGGTGCACCATGTAATACGTTTAGTTTCAATGGAATGTTATTTATAAGAAGACGCGAGTTTGTCAATATGAGGCTTTTTATTTGGTTTCATATTTCATAGAATAATTTCCACTTGTTGCAGACTAACGTTAAGAAAATTAAGAGTGGCTATATTATCAAGTTAATTCGAGTAATAAAAATGGATGACTTCAACTAGACTAGAGGGTCATTTGCTATTTGATTCACGAATGAAATGAGATAATTATTCAAGTCTTCAGGGTTATTTAAAAAGTCCGGGATGTCCGATTTCCTTTTTTCTACTACAGTATCCAGTAAATGTAAAAAGAATACCTCTATTGTTTTTTCATTCACACTGTGGATATGACCATATTACAAAGTTGTTGCAACAATTCTAATCATTATCATTTTTATATGTTTTACGTTTTGCCAGTGCTATATTTATCGTTTTCATCATTATTTTTAAGATATCCGTTAGCCAAACGGCTTTTTGTTTACATACTCTGACTATTTTTATGGGTACGTGACTTTCAAATTGGCTTATTAAATAATTATTAGGTTTCCACATATTTTTCAGAGTAAATTTCTAAAAAGAAGTTTGTCAGGTACTATATTATTTGTCCATTACAGTTCCACCAGATATTTCAAATGCATTTTATATATAGAACAGTTGACAAATGTTGAATGTAATTTCGCTTCAATATAACTTATATTTTCAACAATGTGTGAATAACTCACTTCGCTTGTTTTTAATACTCCTTCAATATATTTGCCCTGAACGGTAAATCCGAACAGAAAAACCAAAAATGTGACAAAGATATAACACATATTCCAAGTACTTATACTCAAAATCACCATAAATAAAATATTTTCTTTGAAATACAAAACAATATTAAGGGAAATGAAAATCAATGCGGCCAGGTAACCATGGATACTTGAACAAAACATTTCCAACCCCTCTGTAGGCATTCATTATTATTCTCTGGGGGTAACTTAAATAAATCAAACTCAGCCGAATTAATGGTTTCATATTTATATTTTATCGATGATTGGAAGGTAGAAGTGAAAGGGCCGTCGAAAAAAGTATTGCCACAGTTCTGGTTGGTCGAAATGGTGTTTTAGTTGGGTTCTTTCTTTGAGTTCAACTATTGTCTAAGAACGCCAGGATATCTATTGTATGCCCTACATTTGTGGAAGTGAAAAGGGATTGGCAAACAAACTTTCTTAGAACATAAGGAGAATTAACTAGCCAGAAGCAATAGGCGCCAATTATGAGGATATAAATATAAAGTCAATGAAAGGTTGAGATAACTTAATCAAACGGGCGATGGTCAACAATCCCAAGAAACGGCAATGCAATGGAACGTGACAACAAAAGCCTCACTTGACTTATCTGTCATTTCAAGATATTTTTCTTGGGTTTCAACACCATTGACTGCTTGGTTATTAGCCTCGTGTACTGGGTGTACAATGTTAATAACTCCCCGTGCCACCAAGGGAGTGTCATGGCTATTCGAAGTGCGCCAATTCATTGTTTATTTTAAGGTGTTTCCTAAATATAGACTAAAAAAAGATTTACCAACTGAATATCTAGTAAAAATACATAAGAAACAAAAAAAATATCTATTTTTCAAATTGAACATTAGCTGTGAATCATTAACACCATTTTCTCTGAACTATGCATATTTTGGTTCCTCCAAATACCTTCATGTTATGAATATTTTTCATAATTAACGTTTTTCTACACACCAATATTGCAAATGAAAACAATTAATAACTATATATATAGAGGTAAATATATGTGCTCTTTGATATGAATTTTTCAACTGCATTTTCTTTCAATTAGAAACGATGGAAACGTTTATTAATTGCCTTAAGGCACTCTTAATTATGATATGATATGATAGGCTTTCTATTACCTAATTCATTGGAAATAACAGTCTCGGACAATTTATTCCGAAATAACATAGTTATCCAGATAGAAGAATTGATGAAAAATATATATTCTTAAAAAGTTGTTGCTTGCTATATAGTTGTTAAGCTCTCTCGGAAAAATAAAGCCGGTGTATCAAACAGGGTACATGAGAGTATATATATGGGAAAAAATTATTTTCTCAATCTTTTTTTATAAGGTTTCATACATTCTATGTCGTTAGTGACCCCAGTCAGGTAAATAGTTCTTTAATGATTAGAACATTTTCAGAATTTTTTTTTGAAAATGTTGATGTCATGGCGACCTCCACGTTGTCGGGAGTTATAAAGATAAAATACCATGCATCTTTGGCTTTTTTACTCCGATCAGGCTCATGTCTCCAGTAAAGACTCCCTCTTACGAGAATTTAATGAAAGTGGGGTGTTTAGATTTGGAATAATTACTAACAGAGGGTACGACGAGCAGTAGAACCTTCAAAAAATGATATCTATTTTACCTACTACAAATGAAAAATGAAAGTAAAACAAAATTACCAGGGTGGGGTTTTGTAATTTATAGTTTTTGAATAGGACTTGTGTGATTTTTTGTTTTATTAGTGCATATATGCAATTTTAGTATCAATGATATTTTCGTATATGATATTTTCCATGTATTGTTTCAAATGAGTGCAAAAGATTTGTTATCGACTGAGAGTGACGAATTTGAGGTTAGCGAATATAATTTGTGACAGATCGCGAATCTTTTGGTTAACATTCGATTTTGTGTAAATCGTGTAGTGATACAAGTAGTTTACATGAAATTAGTGAATTCATAAATGAATCGATCTGCACATTGCACGGATGAACAATGAAAAAGCTACCACATCTCATCGAAGTGTGACAAAAAGTAAATTTTGGGGAATTGAAAATCGGCAGCCATTTTATTTTCACAGCCCGTAATTTGTAAGTTTTTACCAATCATTATTCTTCATTAGTTTATACAGTGATTCCCAAATCATGAAGAATTTATTCAGGTACTTCTTGTTATGATTTTGATTAGCTATTTGGCTCCTGTGGAAAATAATAAAATGACAATGTTTTATGGTATTGTGCAATTTTCCATAACAAAACTCTTGATTTTGTTTACTGAGAAGTAACAATGAAACTTTTTTTCATATAGACCTAGTTACATACAAATTTGAAATTTTTTATTTTTTTAGTAGTTATATACCTTATAATTTTAGTCATCAATCCAAACTGCTGAATTTATTGCCAGTACATATTAAAGTATTAGTTGCTGCTGTATTCCTTTACACTCTGTAAAAGACCGAGCATTGGCATCAACGTAACATTTTAGTAGGTATTTTTACAGGTTTTACTATATTTTTTCAATCAAACTTGAGAATAATTGTGTACAGTAAATCTTATATGTGAATTTTGTTTTACAGTCATAAACATGTAAAAGTACATGTTATACTGATGCCAAGTAAAATACATAATGCGATTTTTGAATTGTGTAACTATATTATGTCATTGTCAATATACAAATCTAAAATGAAGAGTCAATTGAATCGATGGTACAAATCAGTTGAATGAAAAAAAGAAAAGTAATGAAATGAAGAAAGTTGGAATACTTGACACACCATTTTCAAATTCATGAAAGGAAATCATTTATCCTTTTTTTCAGTCTGTTATTATAATCGATAGCTACATTTGACGGCAGCCTTAATTCCTTCAAAGAGAGAACTAAAATATTCCTTTTTTTCTTCAAAATATTAATTGAGCAGTGACAGAAATCATTTCAACCCACTTTTTAAGAGAAGCTGGTCAATTTACTGCTGAAATTTGCATAGAATATACAAATTTTGTTTTATTATTGTATTGTAACACCTATTGTGTTTCAATAAATTTGATTTTGTTTCAACTTCTGAATGTATGATAAATTACCACTTCTTTACAAAGACGCAAGGGGAGTTGTCACAATCACTTTTTATTCAGATTTGGACAAATGAATCCAAATGTTGCCTCGGGACCTGATAGTGATGAGATTACGATGAAATAATTTTCATCTAGTTTATCTTCATTAATATATTTTGGATGCAATCCCAAATTGTGTAAACATTCGTATGTAGCCTGCGAAACATTCACCAAATTTAACAGATCTTGTATTGCCTTTTAGAAAGGCAATAATGTAACACTGTACCAATAGAAAGATAATTATTTTGGTAGGCAATTTATGACTACTCAGTGCAGAATTATTCTCCCTTCATTACCTATTTTTAGTATTGAGCCCACAGGGTACTATTTCTTTCAAAATTAGTTAAGGAGAACGTTTACAATATTTGACTTATTTTTGATTTTGATTTCCATTTAAAATATAATCAAGTATCTCAATACATTCCAGTGAGATGTCAGCATAGCGGCTTTAATAGATGTGATGGCGCCTGTGCCCCGACCAGGCAGCCTGAGAGATCCAGATATAGCCGATCTGTTCTTTAAGGTCGACCCCGAGAAAATTTTTGAGGATTTACGTGAAATTGGCCATGGTAGCTTCGGGGCAGTCTACTATGCCAGATGCCTGGTATCCAGGGAAATCGTGGCCATCAAGAAGATGTCCTATCTGGGCAAGCAGAGCATGGAGAAGTGGCAAGATATCGTGAAAGAAATAAGGTAACTTGGTAGACTAACTTGTATTTTTCTTGGTCAATTTAATATTCATAGACAGGTACATGATTCGTCATCAATTATGACCCTATCAAGCAAATCATGTGACAATTTTTTTTTGGTCAAAAATCAGCAGTTTTGAAACGTACTTCGCTGCCATAGTGCTTCTATGAGTCTCCTTAACAATTTTTTTCACTTCCTCAACATTTTTATTAGTTGATGTGCTGGGGTATGCATGGCGAGCGTCGTCATTCACATCTTCCCGACCTTCTGTGAAAAGCTTATACCGCTTGTAAACATTTTTCTGATTCAGAGCACAGTCACCGTATACCACTGTCAACATTTCAAGTATTTTTGACCACTTAATTCCATTGTTTACACAAAATTTTAAGCAAATTCTGTGAACATATGTTTGAACAATTTTCTGGTTTTTGGCGAATATTTCTAAAACAACCACTGATATTGTCGATTTGAAAAAATATTATTCTAGTTCCCTAAAATTGAAAACTGTTTCGAGGGGGAGGGGGACATTGTTTTGGTGAGATCTCAAGAAAATTTTATTTTTATCTCAAGAAAATTTTATTTTTGTAAATAGTAAGTTATCTACTCAAATGACTTATTTTGTTGATAGATACTCAGTGAAATGTGTTAAAAATTGTTAATTTTTTTTATTGTAGCTAAGATAATATCTTTTTCAAGATATCGGAGATGGGTTGACTCCCTGGACACTCCTTGTACGCCACTCAAATATATTTGAGAATATTGATGGAAAACAATCAGTTATTATCATCCATTTTTTACTTTTGTGATACAAATCTTCTGGAGTATCTATAATTTGTGTTATATATTATTTTAGAAAATACTTTCAAAACCTTTTTCTAATATGTTGCAAATATATTTTAGATTTCTAAAACAATTGAACCATCCAAACACCATAGAATACAAGGGATGTTATTTGAGAGACAGCACAGCATGGTTGGTAATGGAATACTGCCTGGGTTCTGCCTCCGATATAATAGAAGTTCATAAGCGTCCTTTAAAAGAAGAAGAAATTGCTGCCATTTGTGATGGTGTCGTACATGGGCTGAGTTATTTACATGAACTAGGCAGAATTCATCGGTAATATAAATTTAACATTATCGAGACTATCAGAGCTTGGAAAGAGTATTCACTTCTTTGGTGCATAGATTATTATTTTGAATTTTTGGAAATTTTCGGAAACTCTAATAGCCGAAATTCAAACTTGCTCCTAGCTCTGATATCGAAGTATCGCTTTGAAAAAAGCATTATAATGTTTATTATTTTAGCGATGTCAAGGCAGGAAACATTTTATTGACAGAAAATGGCACTGTTAAACTTGCTGATTTCGGTAGTGCTTCCATCAAGTGTCCTGCAAATTCATTTGTTGGAACTCCTTATTGGATGGCTCCAGAGGTAAAAAATATTGATTTTTATTAAAATTCTGCATAAAAGAGAATTTTAAAATTAAAAATTGGAATAGTTCATGTTATCTATTGAAGAAAATTCCCACCGAAAAGACATTTGAATTATTGTAGTTTTAATTTTGTCTGACCTCTGTTCTTATTCTTCTTCGATCTATCTGTTTCAGCAGACACTTTTCTGAATAATTTGAAAACAAGCTTTCGCATACCCCTAATCAAATCTGGAAAAATAGTTGGGTAAAGAACCATTGACCAATTAGTATTAAGAACTCTATACCAAAACTCTATGAATCTGTTTGTGTGATTTTTCAACAGCTTCATTCAAAACCTCCTAATTGATGAACAGCAAATAAAGTGAAACATATTTTGTATCTGACAAATTATAAATATGTAGAGGTTGTTTCAGAGGATAGAATGAGGTACAGTTTGATGCAATTAACGATCACTTAGTTACTTTTCATTAACAAGTAACCAAAACCAACTTACATTGCCATGAAGATAACTACTACTCTACTACATGGTTGCCAAATCTGGCGTAACTACAACTACTACAGTTGCGCCCTCTTGTGTACGTATATAAATCCACAATAAATATGAATTTACTTATATTCCAACACTACCTTGAAGTGATTTCTCTAAAAGAGCCTTGGCAAAGAAATGCAAGTGGTCTCCATATATATGGACTTCACCAAGGCTTTCGACAGGATCAATCAATTCTGAAAGTTGAAACAATTAGGTTCTAATGGTATTCTCGTAGATTGTCTGTAAATTTATTTATCCAACTGCAAACAATTTGTTAAGGCCCGTGAATATATGTCCAAGGAAATAGAGGTTTCCTCAAGGGTTCCCCGAGGATCCCACTGGGAACCTTTATTATTTAACTTCTTCATAAATGAGTTACTCTTATCTGCTGATTATTAATGAATATTGTTCTATTTTGCTATTAATGTTTCAGGCTAGTTGCATTATGTAAATTTCTACTCTATTATATTCAATGGGTATACTATTAATCATATAAATATAAGTGCTATTAGATGCCACTTCCAACAAAAAATTTTTTCTTAGGTCATTTTGGCAATGGATGAGGGTCAGTATGATGGGAAAGTGGATGTTTGGTCATTGGGCATCACTTGTATCGAATTAGCCGAAAGAAAACCACCATACTTCAATATGAATGCGATGTCGGCTCTTTACCATATTGCTCAAAACGATTCACCGTCTTTGTCTTCTCCAGAATGGACGGATGTCTTCAAACACTTTGTAGAAGCTTGTTTACAGGTGAGTTGAAGAACTTTTTTTATATCTTCATGAAAGACAGACAAATGAACCATCTGTTGAGGCTGGTATTTCAACACAGTCCCTAGGATGAAATAATTCGATGTAATTTTTTAGAAACTACCTGCACAGCGTCCAAACTCTTCAAGACTACGGACTCATCAGTTTGTGACAAAGAGCCGTTCGCCTAATGTTCTGATAGATTTGATACAACGTACCAAGGATGCAGTTAGAGATCTGGATAATTTAAATTATAGGAAGATGAAGAAGATATTGATGGTAGAAAACTTTGAAAACGAGAGCACCATTGGTAAGACAAAAATGAGATGGTAATATTACTTGAATTTTATTGAATTCACTGAAAAAGTTACTAGTTGAAAAGCAAGATATTCTGCCACGACAACTAAATTGGATTGACAGTTATTTTAGTTTGCATGACATAATGTCATCTTCCTTTAGGAAGGTGCAATTTATGAGATCATAAGACTTGATGCATGAAAATCTGTTGCCAAACTTTGACATCGGTTGATAAGTGAGATTCTTCCTCTGTCTTTCACTATAGCTTTCACAACAAGGCAACTAGTTTAAAGCAAAACCCAGTTGAGCAAAATTGTAATTTTGTTCGATAAATTACAATTATTATAATCATTATTAATAGGAGCACTTAACAAAACTGCACTATAAATAATCATTTATGCCCTGATCTATCCCTTAACATTAAATAATAACTATCAATATTTTGTTTTCATTGAAGTTTAATTTCAGATGTTGATGATACTCCAGACGAGCACACAGGCGCTGATAGCTCGAAAAGTAACTCTGTTACCTCAGAACAAAGTGTTCATTCCGTAGGGGTGTCTGCCAGTAGTCAATCTAGTAGTACTAATAGTTTACCAGCAGGTAATCGTCGTCTTGTTTATAGAACTATTGAAATTGCTTTCTATTCTAGATGTGACATTGATTGAATTTTTGTTGTTTTAGGTGGGGATGACAGGAGACATAGACCAATTAATCATCCAGCTGCAGCGGCAGTATCTGATCACGGAACAAATAATTTTGCTACTATCAGAACTACAAGTATCGTTACCAAGCAGCAGAAAGAGCACATGCAGGTAAGATTATAAGTTCGTTGATTTCGTTTTAATGAGAATGTTTGAAAAGTGTTTGAACTGATTATAACAACTCCGTTTTATTTTGAAACATAATTTCCTACATAGATTTATGTAGTGAACGAGAAACAGTGGCAATAACAGTATATATTTTTTACCCAGTCACGAGTTCTCTGAGCTCAAAGTTGGATTACATAAAATAATTGATATTGAGATCTATTTCACACTGTATTCAATATTTTACAACTATTCAGCTTGGCGTCTCTGAATAAGATACTGGCCTATCTGAAAAAATACTTTAGTCAACTATTATTTCTCAATTTCACCAGTAGCAGCTATTCCTAAGAAACTAATGATACCTTACGAGATAATTCGTTGGACATGTTCAATAAAATTCAAGTTCATTTTTGATAATTTGGTTGTTTTTTTTTTTTCTTATAACTAACTATGTCTGAAGACTGTATCGAGGAGAGATACATACGAACTAGAAAATAATTATTTCGAAATAAACTCTCAAAATATTCATGTCTCCCAACTGTCTACACTTTATGTTCTGGTAAATGCCTGCCGGAAAACAACTACTTCTCCGGCTAATACCACGCTGGATATTGAATTATATTTCTATTTATTTATTTACGGCAATGCCTATTTTTTACAAAATAATTATCAAGTTCACACATATATATATTCAACAGTAATCTAAGCTAGGTTTAAGGAAAAAATATATAAAATTGTAAAAATAAATTAATGAATTACAATCTTTTCAGTGTTTTTAAATGTTTCCAAAGAAGAGTTGAAATATTCTAAATCTACATTGTATGTATTTGCGAGTCTCAAAATTCTACCTACAGATTCATTCCGGCCATAGTTGGTGCGACAAAAGGGTACTTTGAAGATTTCCGAATTTCTTGTTCTCCTTAGATTCACATTTAAAGTTATAAGTTCGACAAGTTTCCGGGGAATTGATGCTACCATTGATTATTTTATGAATTACTTTAAAAACTTATTTTGAACACTTTCAAGCATATCAATATCCACATGATAAGAAGGGCACCAAATTGTGGAATTGTATTCTATTGATCTAACAATTGAACAATATATGATTTTTATTGAAGTGAGAGATAATTCATTCGCAGATCTAAGAATGAAACCTAACATGTTTAGTGCTTTAGAAATAATATTTGCAATATGGGGTTTAAATGACATTTTTGGGTCAAGTATCTGATTGTGTTTGTTGTTTTCGGTTCTGATTGTTTTTATAAGACCGGTTAATGGGATTTTTGTTTCGGAAAAAAGTAAATTTTTGACATTGGACTATATTTAATTGCAGCAGATTTATATTACTCCAGCGAACAAAGTTAGATAAATCGTACAGTAATAATAATACAGTAATAATAATACAGTAATAATTATGTATCAGTTGAGTCATGAATAACTTTAAACATCTTCAGGTCATCAGCAAACAAAAGAAATTCACTATAAAGAATAACATCTTCCAAGTCATTTACAAATAGGTTGAAAAGCAATGGCCCTAAATGAGAAGCCTGTGGTACACCTGATGAAACTGTGGTTGAAGAAGATACTGAGTTACCATATTTTACAAATTGAACTCTGCAGTCTAGATAATTTTTAATCCATTTCAGAATGTTTTCTTGAATACCCAAAGCTTTCAGTTTATGCAACAACTAATTGTGGTTTACTTGGTCAAATGCCTTTGAAAAATCTGTGTAAATAGAATCCACCTGGTGTCTATTTGCCAAGGCATTTATTATACAGTGGTGATAAATGAGCAGATTTGTGCTGGTAGATCTACCACTACTGAATCCATGTTGTTGATTAATGAATATATGTCTACAATCCCATGTTAGATTTTTTTGTAATTAGGCTGTCTTGCCCGCTTATGGCTTTGTTCATGAGATGTAGCTGTTATTAGTCAACAAACTTTCTCTTAGACGAAGGATTCGTACATGCAGTTGAGCCGCGTTGAAATTAATCGAATCCCAGGCACTTTGCTGTTTAGGTCGGATCTTTCGTGCACTGATCTGTAGGTGATGTACTGGAATAATTTCAGCATTGTCCTGATGCCGGATCAACGAGAAAAATATGCGACCTTGGTAAGGTATCTTGCATAAATATCTGTTGGATACAATTCAATATCTATGGTGGTATTAGTTGGGGAAGTAGTTGTTTTCCGGCAGTCATTTATCAGAACCTACAGTGTAGGTAGTTGGGAGAGATTTGTTTTCTAGTATAGAATAGAATAGAAATTAATGTAACAGCTAATTTTGATTTTATAGAGAGAATCTAAGCCTGATGAATAATTTAGTTAATATCAAGTATAATGTTGGTTCCAAATATGGTAATTTATATATGCCTTGATTTTGTTTTGTAGGGTTCTCAGAGATTTCATTATATATTTACTTACTGCTCCCCAAATATAAATATGATAGAGTACAAATGTGAATAAATGAAAACAAGATAGGTATATAGTTTTTTCAAATTTTAGGAGTACTCTTTGTAAAAATTTCCAATAAGAGGAGATATTTTTTCTGATATTTTCAATGTTTATTCCGTGACAATGTATTTATTGTAAATGTTTTGAAGGTTCAGATCTAGGGCACTATCTGGAATGAAGTTAGTTTAATTTTTTTATTATACCAAGACAGTCTTATCTTATGAATTAATTTGCCAAGGAGGAGATGCATGAACAAATGTCAGGCTACAAACGAATGCGCAGGGAGCATCAAAGTGCCTTGTTGAAGCTCGAAGAGAGATGCAAGATGGAGATGGAAAGTCACAAAAATCAACTCGACAAAGAGTACGAAGTTCTTTTGCAGAATTTCAGCAAGGAACTCGAAAGGCAACAGGTTTGTTTCTCACTGATCATTAAAAGTATCTGAGAATTTGTATGCTATGATGTTTCCAGGTGAAACATCTACAGGAATTGGAACGCAAGCAGAAGCAGAATTTAGCTGCGGAGAAAAAACTGATGAAAGACATAACCGGTAGGCAGGAGATGGATAAAAAAGCTTTTGACGCTCATAGAAAGAAAGAATATAAAGCGAGCAAGGAAAGGTGGAAAAGGGAACTTTCTCAAGATGATTCGACGCCAAAACGACAAAAAGATGCGACCTTACAGTAAGGAATCACCTCTGTTTAGATTATTTTATCACTTATTCAATAGTTTAGCGTGTTTTGTAATGTTATTCATTTTCAGAACTCACAAAGACAACTTGAAATTAGTCGATGCTCAAGAAGAGCAGAGGTTGCTCCGCTGTCAAAAGGAATATCTGGAATTGGAAGTTCGTAAATTCCGAAGAAAAAAACTTCTCTCTTATCATCAGCTGGAACAAGACTTGTTGCGGCAAGAGTTGAATAAGAGGCAACATCAGTTGGAACAGGCACACTCTATGTTGCTGAGACATCACGAGAAGACCCAGGAATTGGAATACCGCCAGCAGAAGGCTGTTCATGCTCTGAGAGAAGAACAGGTTTGAATGATTCCTCTTTATTTATTTATTCACTTCATGAAACTTGTTGAATATAGAGGTGACCTGATAATACTGAATACTCATAAAAATTACCTCAAGAAGCGAAAACCGGATGTCTTTCGGGAATTTGTAAATTATCCTCTCACTTCCTAAATTTTTGACAAAGTAAAATATCAACCATAGTCTAGCTTAACATGGTACAAGAGGGTAATACAAAGTTGAAGATCTCGAACCGTCACGAAATGTACAGGTTTCAAAAAGAAAGGACAGATTTAGACATCCTAGTCCTTGTCTCAGTATTTGTCTCAATTTCAGTCTCTGCCATTGTCTTGAGGATTTTTAAGACTGGTCATAATTTGAATCATAAAAATCAAGACTACTTTTAAAAAATGTTTGTAATTTCAAGATTGATTAATCAAATCGCGTGACAAACTTTCAGCAAGATGATGATAGTGAAACCTTTATTGTTGAAGTGTTCTTTCCTTCTTTCTGCATTCGTCTTCGTCATAGTACTCCATCTTACCCTTCTCTTTCTCCTCAATCTTACTAAATTTTCCTTGTTCCTTGATATTATTCTCTTCTATTCTCCACTCCCTCTTATTTCTTTCTTATCAACCTCAGTTTTTTTCATCTCTTTCCTCACTCTTTTTTCTTCTCTCCTCTTCTTTGTCTCTACCTTTCTCTTTCACTGCTAAAGTATTCTTTTTTATTGACTTCTACATTCTTTTATATTTTCTATTTGTTCGCCTTAGTATGGAATTTCAGGTCTTCTTTTTTCATCTCTAGGTCAGAAACCAACATGATACTGAATTGGCCAACCAGTCGGAGTACATGAAACGTACTGAACGTGAAATGAGAAAGAAGCATGCTCTGGAACTCAAGCAGCAACCGAAATCACTAAAAGTAAGGTTGAAACATTAAAATCCAACATTCAACATATGATGTGTTTTTCATTATTTCAGCAAAAAGAAATGTTGGTACGCAAGCAATTCAGAGAAACATGCAAGGTGCAGACGAAGCAGTACAAGGCACTGAAAGCTCAAATACTCCTAAACACTCCGAAGGAAAGTCAGAAAACAGTTATAAAAAAGTTAAAGGAGGAACAAAGGCGGAAATTGGCTCTGTTGGGAGATCAGTATGAGCAGAGCATAGCTGAAATGCTGCAGAAGCAGTGCATAAAGTTGGATGAGACTCAAGAGGTGAGGTTTGGTCGTATAATAAATTTCTCAGCATCTCATTACTTTGAAATAACAATTACAATTTTTACAGAACGAGTGTTACCAGATGAACGAGCGTTTGCGCTACGAATGGGAAATCTTAATAGCATACCAAAGTAAGAACAAGATGCACGCCCAAACTCAGAGAGACCGTGAAAAGAATGAACTTCAGGAACGTGTTTCCGTCAGGAAGTCGCTTTTGGAACAAAAGGTGATTGAGTCATTCTGTTTCCTCTATAATATTTTTTCCTTAAATAATTGTCCTCTACAGATGACTGCGGAAAACCAACGGTTTGTTGAGGAACGTGGCGAAAGGATAAGAATTCTCCATGAAAGACAAGGAAGGGAGCTTGAAAGTTTCGATGAGGAATCGATAAGGCTAGGATTCAGGTAAAGCCCTACGGTTTTCTAATTTTCATAGTAATATGACACAATGAAACAGAGGCTGGTCCCATAAATTAAATTATAGTGGGGGGATTTTGTTTTGGAGATGTTCAACACTGAACACATTTGACGTGATTTGTTAGAACATCAGTAACATCAAAATAAACAGCAGTATGTATATTTTGCATTAACATCCACATACTACTGAGAGAACAGGGCCTAGAATCAAACCTTGTGAAAAATCCTGTGTATGAAAACATACATTTTAAGGAGATTTTTTTTTAAGTGTGTTCTTACATTGTTTTTCAGTTTTTTCAAGTCATGGCATTATTATAGACAGTCATACCTGATGAAAAAGCCTGATTCATTCAAAATACCCATTCTCATTTTGAATCGCTACTATATATAAATAGTGGCCTGAAGTTGGGATGATAAGTGAAAAATCTTTTTTACTCATATTTTCACGAAAACAGTCATTCCTAACAAAAAAAACTCTGCTTCACCCAAAACAATTATTTATTGTTTCTTTACTTCTAAGAAGATTCAGAATTTGAATATAATCCTCAACTGAGATTATGAAAAATTGTATGCATGAATCGTGAGCTTAAGAGTAAGATATTTAGGTGTTGTACAAGGCAAATGGTATCGTAACAATTAGGCTTCAGCACTGTGAAACCCCCTAACAATTAACTGATCCCCAGCTTTGTTACGGTATATGGTTTTGAACAGTTTGTAACACAATCCTCTCTTGTTTTGTAGTACTGCGAAAAAGGGTTGTAAAATGTTTGTGTAATGTCAATACCAGAGATCTATGCTACCAAAAAGTCTAACTTCATGATGATGATAATATACTTTATTGTACATGAAATAAATCATGATTACAAAGCATAAGTGATACAATATAGTATACATTGTCAAATGTGCGACCACAAATAATTTATATACGATTATACATTTTTTGCCTACTAATAATATAGATTGAAAAGCATATTATTGTATTGCAGTGCATTAGCTATTGCTGAAATGTCGCTGGCTATGAACGACCTGTCGAGAGATAGCTATGAGGATGATACGAGTCTCTCAGGATCGATGTTGAGTCTGGCTCATTCCAATAGTTCGACGAGTTTTCCGCCTAATTCGGTTTAGTAAATGCAATATTATTGATTGATGAACACCAAATTTCATTGAGTAAGAGTTTACACAGTTCTGAATCTTATTTAGTATTTGAAATATATTCAGTTATTTGATCGGTTTAGGAAAAATTGTTTCGAGTTGATTGATTATCAATATTCTGAAGTGATACCAAATTTGTACCTTGATAATTATTATTATTTCTACTTTATTTATTTATGACAGTTTAGCAATTGGTAGATTAGTTTGTTATTTTTGTACTAAATTAATGAATAAATAGGACAAATACAGTTGCGTAGATGAGCTTCTATCTCAAAACATTGACAAAATCAAAAGTATCAAGCATACCAGTAAGTATTTAGTCAATTACATTTAGGTTATTGTTAGGTAAAAGAGGTTTGCCAGTATATAGATTTACTGAAGTGTAATTACTATATAAACTCAGTATCTTTATAGATGTTTTTATTTGCCATATATTCATTCCATACATTTCGTTCAAAGATGAAGTCATTTTTTTCATTCGGATAAATACTGCTTTGAAGTAATTCAAAATTTTAGGGGACTTTTTTTCCTGACAACAATTTACACAAATATCACCTATTTGGTGAGTTTTTCATGAGTTTGCTGCCGGCAATTGATAATTCAACCAGAATCCTATGTTGTTCTGTCTTATATTCATTGAAATCAATTGAGAATAAATACTCATTTGTTGTTTTTTTAATATCTCTGATATATTAGAATGTAAGCCGGTTTATGTCTCCTTTTCTATAGAAGAGGTCAAACTGAATGGTGGTATGAGATATTTGAAAATGGAAAAAAATTTGTTAGACAGATTTCATTTGGTGTAACTCCTACGAATTGTTCTACTGTTCTTAAGAATCAGTTTATAAAAAAACAGTTGAAATGCATAAGGTAAATCTTGCTTGAATTTTTTTATTTGAAGTGTTGAAATATTTTGCAGCACATTTTTTGCTGACCTAGTTGGCATTCTTAAAAATTAATGTGTTGAGAGTATTTTTGTTATGATAAAAAGTTATTTTGTTAAAATTGTTCTACATCCGTAGGTTTGTGTTATGTCTCTCAACTATTGGTACACACTGAATAATTTATTTTATCAATAGAAACTTCAGTTTATTTGATCAAAGAATATATGTCTACATTGTTACGCCAACTTTTGCCGCCATAGAGATGTGACCGTCAGTCTTGAAGTTAATGTTTAGTTTTCATTTTGTCTTTTGCAAATTGGCAGCTGGAGTCACATTATTTCTACCATATTAGATTAACAGGAATTAGGGAATGTTTGACAACACATAGTCCATGTCTAATTGAAAATTTGAAAAAGATGCAGAAGTTTCTCATTGTCCAAATTTTGTGATTTGGGGTAGAATAAACTTTACGGGTGCAACCAAAATGAAGATTCTACTTTATAATGTCTTTGGAAGGTGCTAAGAATTGCATATTGATGGGTAGTGCCCCGTTAATGAATAAAAAACATTTCAAAACCATGTCTCATTTTTGAAAGACGAGTTCCTTAACAAGCTCTAACGATTTATGGCATGAATTAATTCAAATATTCCCCAAGATTAATTATAATTGGATAAAAATGTTGAATAGTCATTTTTTTGCAAAAGGGCCTGAACTATGTGATATTTTTTCGTGAAATTCTGTTCATGATTACTTTTTTGGTTCAATGAAATTTGGTATTTGCCATTCAGTAATATACTAAGTGGGATTATAATAATGATGGTTTGGAAAATGTACATATTCATCTAGTTCGTTAATTTTACCATTGTAACTGAAAAATTCCCCTTTTTATACATAAACTCTTCCATTTAATGACCGTGTTCTTTAAGTTAGTTTCATATAATTTTTTGATTACTATTCTGTTAGCCACCAGGAACATGACTTTTTGCATTGAAAATATATTTAACCCCGTGAATATTCCAAGAGGGTGAATTAATAAGTCATGATGCAAGTGAATGAACATTTTTATTGGGTTATTGATTTTGAAGACAAATTTTCGTTATTTAGCAAAACTACTTGCTGATTGTTTATTTTCATGACATTTTAGTAGGCTCAATATTCAATTCTCAAAGATGTGCGGGTGAAGAAAACGTCAATGACATTTCAAAAAAACTATTTTAACCAAAGCCAAAATTTTGAAGTGAAATCCATTTAAACACTTCACGTTTCATTTTATAAAAAAAACAATTGTTTTCCAATCAGATCATTAATATTCACTTTCTGCAGCCGTTTATTTAGTTTTGACTAATCTTTGGTTCTATCTTCAACATGGCTTTCTTGAAAAAACTTTGTTTGTTAGAGATTTGAAATTGCTTTTTTGCAGCTCAATTTTTAATTAAGAAGTACTGAAGTTTGGTTTTCGAAAAATGTAGCATCTAAAATCTCAGTAATGAAATTGAATAATGAAAATTTTTGATTCCTCAATCAATACACCTGGTCAAGATGTATCATACTTTGTTTCCTGAGGATTAACACAGTATTTTAGACTGGTTTCCATTTAGGTGAATGATTAGGAAGTTCATTTGAATTTTGTGAACATTATTCAATACTTTAAACTATAATTTTAATAATTAAGATAAGATAGTTTATATTAGACATTTACTAAATTAAAAGACTAATTGTACCAAAAATTTTGGTAATACGCTTATATAAAAAATTAATATTGCTGAAAATGTGTATTGTGGTAAATAGGAAAAGAAAACGAACTTTACATTTAAGTTTATCGATAGAGATCTTAAAGTTTGACAATTTTGGTCTGTTGAGACGGATTTTAACAACGATTAACATCGTATTCATCATTAGTGATCTGAATATTTAAAAAAATAGGCATCTGCATAACATTACTTTATTGCAAACTACGAAAGATCGTAATAGCAATATTATGGACAATGTTTCCTGGTTAAATTAGCTGAAACTGTACAAACTTAATTTTCTCATTTTCTAATTTTTAATTTTAATGAAATAATAACCTAAAATTGAGAACTAGTACATTCTGCCCGTGATAACTTTTGCTCTAAGGGTAATTTATAGTGTTTCAGACAATTTAACTGGCATTTTCCATAAGTATACAATGGGATCCTTCCAAGGAATCAAAAGTATTGCCCTTTTTCGTCTTTACACACAAAATTTCAACCGTGGTTTTAAGATCTCTACGCTTGATTTAATTTTGTAAATATTTCATATTGTTTCTGGTCTTGAAACAATTGTTGAAAATGTTTCGTCTGTTGTGCTTTAAATTTTCCTTTTTTCTGGTAAAAAATGGATTATTTGTTTTGCAGTTCTGAAATCTTTGAATTTGATTTGGTACGATATAAACATATAGCAATGTATCTAGATTTGATAACTAGACTTGTGGCTACTTGAAACCAATTCAGACAATTATGTTGAATGTCAATATACTGGCTGTCTCTTTAGGAAAAAAAATTGTTGCAATATTTTAGATAGCGTACAGTCGATGGTTTTGGACTTGTTTTCTTGATAACCTTCAATTATTCAGGTAATGATGATATGAATTCATATAAAAACCTTGGAAAAACTTTAAACCACATAAAAAATGTTTACGAATTACTTCCAAATACTGAGAATATAATTTTTCTTCGTTCAGGCTTGTGCCTAATATCGATTTTTATTTGTATCCCACTCATTTATTTACTCTGATCAATAATTTGAAGCTAAAATTCATCGGTCGGATACATGATTCTTCCAAGGGAAAATGTCGAAAAAAATTCAGGAACCCAGAAAAGTTGAAATTTTTTTGAGAAAAACCTTATTGACCTTTGAATATATATTCATTTCAGAAATTGGTTAATTTTGTTAGACGCTAAGTGAAGAATGAATGTGATGTTGCCAAATTCTTTGCGACTTCCTCATCCAGTACGAAAGCATATTCCAATAACAATTGTAGGATTTTCAAATGCATTAAGTATTGCCAACATTACCATGGGCCTTAGGTAAATGAACTCAATAATGTTCAGTGTCATTAGCTGATGACAGGTGAATTTTAATGAAAATATTTTGTATGATGTGACAATGTCTTGAGTATGTTCATAAAAAGGTCCCTATTCACGTATTCAGGATACGAAAATTCAAATCATTTTCTAAATTGTTCAAATAGTGACGATGGCGGCCAGTTTTAACGTCCGAGTGTAATTGAACATGATTCTTCATTCTATCAATTTAAAATATTTCCACAAGTAATATCGAATTTTTATCACCAAAAGATATATCTCCTGAACTTTTTTGACATTTTCTACCAAAATTCTTTACTAGGTGATGAAAATACTTTTATTTTTGCTTGAGCTCAAATAATCTTAAATTATCTGTAGAATGGGAGTGTGTTTTAATAGTAACTTCTTAATTCATTAAATTGAATATCATTTGGCCTGTTACCTTCAAGGATTTGTAGTGGCAGTTTTAGCAAGTTAATCTTGACAAACTTTGGGTAGCTCATCACAAGTTTGTGAATATTATTCTCCTGAATTTTGAAGACTACAAATTATAAATATATATTTATCATGAAATACATGAAAATCAATGAAAATTGCTTCAGATTTCTGTCAATAGTCGAATCATTTAGTGATTCAGTAGTTCACAAATTGAAACGCAAGAAATATCTGGACATGGTATTAAATCTTCACTTTTATCTTAATGAATGAATGGAAACGGAATATTTTAAACCAGTTAAAGTAAGATTATAGATGACTGTCGCCAAAATATTGTTATTGTATATATCGTTGTCGTTGCCTATATTTTAAAATTGTATAAATTTGTATTTTTTTTTCTTATATTATGTTCATGTATTGTATAAAATGATTTAAACCTTTTTCATTAAAACTTATTAGCAGTATTTATTATTTAAAAAATAGTAGATTTATTGTAAATAATATTTGTTGAAAACTTCTTCTGTCAAAGTTTTTATTATAGTTTTTTTAACTTGAATTATAGTTTTCAGCTCCATTCGAATTTCATTTATTTCATTGACTATAGTAATGAAATATCAAAAGAATCGACTTACTTTTGCAGTCTGGCATTCCTAAAAGTCTTCCTTGAAACTCTAGTTTGAGTTGAAATATTTCTAGAAACAAACATACTGTTTGTCCTAACCTACCCTCCAAACGGCTCATTTCAATTTAGAACCATTGACCTACCTCTGGCCTATGCATCATATGAGTTGAAAATCCTGTATTTTTTATGTTAGCGTGAAAAAATGAATAATTGAGAACTAAAATAACACAACTTGTTACATGAGAGGGTAGTTAGTTATTTGATATTAAATAAGTGAACTGTTGGATAACGATAAAAATATTTCATTTGTAGAGTGATACTTTTTTTGTCATATACATATTCCGGTTTTTTGGCCGTGGTCTGCAGGTTTTTATGGCTGACGTTTCATCTACCACTGCGATAGACTTTTACTACTAAATTCGTTTGTAAAAACATGACCACCACTTCGCCTTTGATAATGTCAAAAAAACTCTGAGAAAAATAGCTTTCACATAGCCTGTCGAGTTGTTATGTTATTCAATTTGTCAAGTAGACTTGGATAGTTTAGTGCTCAGTTGTATGAATCATAAATGGGAAAAGATCTAAAACTGCACCATGGAACACCCAATAAGTTGAAAGTCGGACTCATTGTTGGAATGAAGTGTCATGTGCCAATATCCGGTAGAAATTATGAAAAGGATAGGAAATCACATTATACCATAATCATTGAATGGAATGGGTAATGCAATTCAATGAAGCTATAGCTTTTTTTAAAGGTATATATATCTGGACTGATATGAATTGAATGCTCTGTTTTTATTGACAATTTCAATGACCAATAGTGGTCTGATTTTGATGAAATAATCATCTATACGTTTGTTTGAAATTGGGACCAAAATAGTAGTTAAACTAAAAAATGAAACATTTATTTCAAACAATAAAATTGCGAAGCATCAATCAGTCATTTATTGGGCTTCTGAGTTGATGAGCATCCAGCTAATCTCTAATATTATTACCAAAGTTCATGATATCCTCATTTTTCAAATTCTGTTTTATTGTGAGAATAACCCGTGAATTTAATGGTAGCCAGTTGGTTAGCAAGAGGGGTTTACTTCACCTAATTTAATAACTGCTATGTGAACGTTGATTTGATTTCACCACATGGATTTTCACTGCATATCATAAGATTTGCGCTTGTAATCATAACTTAAAAGGTAAGATCTCGGTAATCTCGACTTCTAAAGTGATGTCGTTCACAAGGGATTCATCTGGTTTATGAAAAAACACATGAGTACCTAGTACCAGTTACCTAAGACCTAGAGCATTCAAATTCTAACATGATAACCCATTTTCTGAACTCCAAAGTATGTAATCTAACAAGTAAATTCTTACAGGCAAGTAACACGAGACACAATACAACAACACAAGCAGAGAGTATTAGATGGCTAGGTGAAGAATATGGTTTTTAAAGCGGAAAACTGATACATTAAAGATTTGTAGGTTATAATTGAATCTGTGAAAAGAAACGTAGTAAAACATTTGCACCTGTCTAGTTGAACGACTGGGGACATGTAAGAATATTTTGAGAAAAGCTCGGGGCTGATAGTCCGATGTTTTCTGCGAGCCTCAAGAGAAGGCAATGCATTCATTCCAATGTAGTAGTCATCGTATACACGCATCTTAAAGGAAAATCGCAGGAAATTGTGCTGTACGGCCTCGATTTTCACTTTTTGTGTAACGTAATGAGGGGACCAAACTCTGGAACAATATCAAGATAAGATCTAACCAGGGAAAAATAAAGAGATTTAATGGCAGTGATGTTGGTGAAATCACGAGTGGTTCTCTTCATAGATTTTTGAATTAAGTGTGGAGTCTAGGATCACACCTAGAACTTTGGTTTCAATAACAGAATGTAAGGTCCGATTATTTATACTATATTCGAAAGTGATTGGGTGATGTTTTAGATGAAAGTGAAGAATTTGGCATTTGGATGCATTCAGACACACCATTTTGCGAACACCAGTTAGACAGGCAACTATATCGTTTTGTAGGCACAAGGTATCAGCTTCACTTTTAATTATTTTAAAACATTTTAAATCGTCGGCAAATGGCAAAGCTTCTGTTTCATGGAAACATCTGATTAGATCGTTGATGAAAAGGTTAAAAATCAGTGGTCCCAAGTTTGAACCTTGTGAAACACCCGATGTAACTGCGATGGTATGAGAATAGTAATGATAAACTCTTAACAATTTGTGTTCTTTCCGTAAGATAGCTCTTGAGCCACTGCAATATTTGCCAATCAACACCACATAACCAAAGTTTATGGATCAATAGCTCATGATTAACTTTGCCAAAAGCTTTGTTGACATTTTTCCATATTTGACACTTATGCTGTGACTATTTAGAACTTACCCAGAAATTATGTGAGAACTAACCTAGTTCAACCTGGTGGAAAGACGTTCCAATACCAAAATGTACTGGTGACGAAAATATACACATTGAGAATATTATTGAATGCTGCTTCAGCAGAACACTCTTTCTCCAAAGAGGCTATTGAATCGATGATTGGAGTTACACAATTGGAATCAATAACATTTTTCCAGTATATATTTCGAAATATACATCAATCTTATATAAATAACAATTCTCAATTAGAAAAAAATGGCATTTAAAGAATATCAATTAATAAAATGCAATGAAATAATGGAAGAAGATATTGAAACAATTAGGTAAAATGCTTATAGTTGATGAGTAAATATTAATATCAAGTCATATTTACAACTTTAAAAATGATACTAGATACTTCAAGTTTGATTCCCAACCAATTCTTATTGATCTAGTAGCATTTGTATTGATAATTTGAAGACTTCAGAGTAGACTACTGAGTGGGCGAAAATTCTGTTGGCACCATTATCCTGCAGTGCATCTCTCTTATCAAAGGAACCGTATAAGCAACACATTCGTCCCATCCTGGTGACCGCCAGGCACTTTCTCTCGTTTCCTTTCTACCATTCAAATTGCTATAACCTACAAATGATACTATTATCTTTGCATCTCATCTCAAGAATGAAAAACCTTACACCAAATATGATGTACATTGTACAATCTCCCGATTTGTGAAAAGAATCCAGCGAAAGCCTCATTATTGTTTTGTCGATGGTTGATAGCTCTAGCCCAATTGTTGCCCCATTCAATCATTGTTCCTGGCTTGAGTGCATAACTTCTGATTTCATAAATATTTTTTGGCTCCCTGAGTAAAATTTGAGGCCAATAACTGAAGGCAAGAAGGTACTGTAAGTGACGTGATCTCACGATTTTACCCTGTTCATCGATAAGTTTCTGGAATTCCTGCAAAAATTATATAAAATCTCATTCAATAGGTAAAATGGGATCATTTACAGATGTTCAAGTTATGCAACAAAATGTTAAAAAAGTAATAGGATGTTTCAAAAGTTTTGGCCGTTTTTATGATAGATAGATATATTTATTTATACTTCATCATCAAATTTAATCGAAATAAGCGCCATTTGAATCAGTGCACTTTTGCCAATGTAACTGTCGATCAATTCCGTCAGCATGAAAATTGTGTTTGGGTCGTTGAAGGCCATTTTTGCCTGGTCCTAATTGGCGAAGGTTCTATCTGTGAGAAAGTTATCGAGGTGCTTGAAAAGGCGATAGTCGATTGGCGTGAGGTCTGGGGAGTATGGTGGGTGAAGCAGAATTTTGTCACCCAATTGGTTTGATTTTAGGACGGTGATTTGTGAAACGTGCGGACGAGCGTTGTTGTGGATAAAGTCCATATCTCTTCTATTGACCAGTGCCCTCACAATAGGAGTATGCTGTTATAATTTGGCCCGATTGCAGAAAGTTATAGTGATTCACACCCTCCGCTGACCACCATACAGTTTTTTTTGTGGGTTATTGCCTTTGAGGAGTGACTGACTCATCGCTGTCCAATAAAAGTCCTGAATGTCTCCTGTTGTATGGTGAAATTGAAAATAAAAATTTGGTGGTGAGAAGTGATATTCTCTTAAAATTGTGGTTACACAATACAAGGCTTTCAACTATGTAGATCATAAGCTATTCCTACGCTACCTCAAAATTCATGCGGTTCATGATGACAATTACAAATCTTCACAATAAAAATTATTTCCAATACGTGTTTCACTTCAACAGTAGTTTGACGAAAGGGAATTATTAATCACATCAAATATACCAACCTGGCTATTACCCACTAAAGCATTAAATTGATCAATTGTTTCATAACCTCCTGTGAATTTCCATAAATGTAAAGCTTGATCTTGATCACCTACGTTTACTGTCCAAGATCCAACCAATTCCACATCTTTTTTTAATGAATCTTGGGATCCTATAAAGTTGACTGTATTTTTTCTGGAATATTCATTAATCATTAAAAAAATCCAGTTCCATGCAAAATTGATGTTTTATGTAGAGGTTTCTCTTTTGATTTATATATGTTAGAAAACAAGGTTACAAAAACAAATATAAGTATTAGTTTTTGTGACTCGGTAAAGGGAAAATTGAAAAACTTCTTTGGCTGAAGTACACTCACACATTGTTCAGATATGCAACCTTAGAATCTGGTCTGTAATTATGTGTTTGCAGAGAGTAAATTATTTCCTTATCGCTCAACATACGACTGTGGGATTCTTTGGTGGGTTCGATTTTCCTAACAAAGATTTTAGAAAGCCAAGCATCATTTTTTGGATGAGTAGTAGAGATTGCTCTGAAAAATAAACATTGTATGGAAATAATACAGACAAGAAGAGGTACCTTAAATTATTGGATATTTTATTTAAATATTTGAAAGTGTTAGCCATTGTTCAATCGAATGGCCAGTCACCTGAACCAAGTAAATTATTTTTAGATTTTTTACAATTTTTGATGACATAAAAGGTTATCACGTTGTATATAATAAATTATGATATATACAAGGATTGTTCGTTTGTAACTTGAACAAACGTGTTCCTGATTCAATCTATTACTTCGGAACTTCAAACACGACATACATTCGTGTTTCGTGACAGTTGAAACTTTGACTACCGCGGATTCTAGGTAGGGCGAAAAATCTTAACCTTACTTTTCATAATGTAATTCGGGAATTTCAATTTTTAACTCAGAATTTCAAACCAAAAACCAACTTAATTTGACTTTTTTCACAATCCACATTGTTTCGAGTTGAAAGTCGGTACTATTTTGATCATTCCCATATTGATTTCAATTTAAATTGAAATCAATATGGGAATAGCTTGTTAAAATAGCATTTTATAAGGACACATTGTAAAATTAATTTAAGACTAGTAGATAAGGCAATATTGTTAAATTAATTTTTAAAACGCTCAAGACGCAGGTAGCTAGAAGAGGTATCTATGGTTTAAATAAGGATAACATTGTAAGTATATTTAGTTTATTCTTCTTCTTGAAAATGATCACTTGGTGATGGAAACGTGTCGAGGTGTTGAAATAACAATTTGGTGTTGGGAAAAAACTCCAGTAATATTCATTACTACACCAAAGGTTCCAAACAGTGTAACATAAATATATATGTTCTTGAATATTACTGGAGTTTTTTCCCAACACCAAACCGTTATTTCAACACCTCGACACGTGTTTCGATCATCAAGTGGTCATCTTCAAGAGGAAAATCAAACAGTTTGATCTGATATGACTGAAGAATCTGCTAATTTGTGTCTCTACACTCCACCTATAAATTGTTCCTATACTCAGCCTCATATAAAAAAAAATCGGTCATTCCTTAGTGTGACTCTGTACAAGCAGTAATATCTGGGAGGTTAAGTGCACTATGCATTCTGAAAGTGAAAAGGTTTGAAACCGAACTGATTACTAGTGGCTTTTGCCCTAGCCCTAGATCTGACAAGTAATTTAGAGATACCCCAAAATCCTGAGAATATACAAAAACATGTAGAGATGATATCCAACTTACTTTGACTTCCTATAGTGCAATTATTCTATGCCCTACTGACTAGGCAATTAATTAATGAAGACGAATAGATTTAAATTGCAGCAACAAAATATTTATTTGATTCAAGTATATACGTTTTATTACATTATTTTTATATATATAAAAAAGGACTGTATACGAGGTTAAGTCATCAGACTAGAAATTTCAAATTTTTTGCAATTTCTGAACGGGCCTTTGTAACGGATGTCCCAATAGTTTAGCCATAGATTTGTGAAGCCTAGATGTATCTCTGCCGACGGGCAGAAAGTAAGATAGGCCTTTTTGATCAATTTTTTGTAAACATTCAGATATTTTATTACAGTTGTTACTTCTGTCTACAGGCTCATGAGTAAATAGAGTGTCAACCACAAAGTATGGGTTGTTCAATAATTTACTGATTTCAGCATTTGATTCCAGAGCTGGGATAGTGTAGGATCTACCATAGAGTATTATAGGGCGAATTATATATCTTGGTGGAAGTTGATTGTCAAAATCTGGAAGTTGTACATGATTGCTTATCTCGGTGAATAAGGAGTTTAGACTGAAAGAATCTTCAACATCACATTGCTTGATTCTATCAATATTATAATTCAACTTTTTTGGATCCCGTGTAAAATCACACTGCCAACTAGAATCATTTTCATTCAAAACCATCAAAGCAAACTCGTGATCTGCATTAATCATATGTTTCAATTTCAGAAACAGTTTAACAATTCTTCTCAGCATACTAAGAGGCGAAAACTTTGATTTTTCGGTAAGAAAAGGTGTGCATTTTTCATCTTGTGCTCTGTCAATTATCAAAATAATTTTTTCCGGAACATTAGCACTAATTAGAGAATATTCATTCCGCCCTTCAAACAGATCAAATTCTTTGAAATATTTCTCAACATCATCGTTTTCTTCAATCTCATCCTCCTGAATTTGGACTGGAACTGGTCCTTGTTCAATAACCAGCTGCTCCATTGGTTCCGATAGTCGGATGACATTCTCATCGTGAGTTTCTTCTTGTTCGATTTGGATAGGTATTATACGTTCCGCCATTAAAAAAAATGTATTTCTTAATGACTTATGAAAATGAACTATTTCAGGTTTACTTAGTTTACTCAAAGAAAACCGAACCTCAAAACATGACTTTTTCTTCTTCGTGATTTTTTGAACTTACTTGCTTTCATTTGCTGGTATAGTTAACCTAAATCATAAAGTAACCAATATTTTGATTCGTATGGAAGAACTATAAATAAGGATTACTGTTTTGAATTTGTTTAAAATCTGGTTTTTCGTTAACCAGCTGTCGCATCCCTACAAATGACAACCCTCACAAGTAGAAACTTGTGCGAGCTAAGAATTAATGAGGTATAACCTTTCAACGTGTCTTGATCCCCCGTTTCACCTCACGATCGATTGAGTGACTTGAACAAACCACTCGGCTACCGTCTCACCAGTTTTCAGCTTTTTAGCACCAAACAGTTACGGTTATTATCAATTTTCACAATTGTCTGATGAAAACAATGAACTACACAGGTTTCTGTTCATTGAATCCAATTTATTCGTCATTTCCAGCTAAAGAGTCATTAGTCGTGGGACAATGGACACGTTCCCTTTTCCTCTCATGAACAGACCCTTACACACCAAAATGTGTATCTACCATTAAAGAACACATCTCAAAAAAATTATTTGGGCACTTTTCACAATCACCCAAATATTTGGTTTTTCGAATATGCATGATAACACAGTGGAGTAAATAATAATCATAAAATTTACCATTAGTTCATTAATTTTTTCATCGCGAGAGGTCTTCTCAGATTTTCATTTTTCCCACAATAATTGGAAAGTAATTTAGCTATTGATTATCAATAACACAATTGACCCAACCATCATATTTTGTACGTAACCAACAATAATATATTTTCAGGTAACCGTTCTCAAAAATTCTGGTTCGTAGCGTTCAAGAAATGATTATTTTTAAGAACTCACCTCTGACTATTGTCTTGTCATATGCCAAATTTCCCTGTCAACTTCAATCTGTCAGTTATAGTTCTTCAGCAAATTTTTGTTCTTGTTACGTAAAGAATCGATCTTTTACTTCTAATAAAACCAATTTGTAAAAATGTTTTTCGACCGATTTTTTCCAAAATTACTCTCTGTGAAAGCTCAGGAAGAAGAGGAGGAGGAAGAATTACAAGACCCCCAGCAAATTCTTAGGGTATGAAACCCATCATAGTGAAAACAAAATATTTGATATTTCATTTTCAGGACAAATGCAAAGAAACAGAACATTGTAAAAATTTAGCTGAGAAGTATCAAGCTTGCAATGACAGAGTTAATTCTCGAAAACGCACCACTGAAATATGCATGGAGGAACTTTTTGATTGGTTACATGCTGTGGATCACTGTGTTACTAAAGATCTCTTCAGCAAGTTGAAGTAATTGTAAGAATTTTTAGAACACCGTAGAATTTGTTATACACAATAAACTTTGTTGGGATGCCAATAAGTTTTTAGAATAAATAAGTTTTCATTCGATGTTATTTTCTCCTGATTTGATCTTTCCTGAACATTTTAAGGTATTATTTCTCATGGAAGTGAAGGGACAAAGACAAACGAAAAGACTGATTGGTGAAAGAAAGCTGAACAGAAAAAATGGACATTGAAAATTGCCGCAACTGTGGCTGGCCCTATGAAACTGATCAACTTCCTTACAAATCCTAGTTGTTTGAATGGCTGAGAAGCCTTTCAGTGTCACAATTTACTACAAGGTTATTATGGCAATAACTGAAATAGTGTATCTTAATGTCATGTAGTAATAGTATATTCAAGAAACCCAACATGTGTTTTCAGGCATGCATATAGGTGTGGAGTATAGACATGCCTGAAGAAGCTATTGTACAACGAAACACGTGTTAGGTTTTTGTAAAACTGTTAAGTGGAAATTTCACAATCAAGTGTTTCTTGAATACTTTAGGAATTTTCATCAAGTATCGGCCGATTTCATCACATGGTAATAGTAGTACTTTGTTAAACTTCCATGCGACAAATAGAAGTTAGTGTATAAATCTAAATCTAGTAACTAAATTAATACAAAATTGATGATTTCACAAACACCTTGAACTAATTAATGATGATTTTAAACAGAGAAAATATGCCTATTGCAGTGTTTGCAAGCGAAGCAAAAGGGCAAAGGCTGGCCTCTGCGAAAGAGAAAGTAGATACATATAGAAAAAGGATTTGTTATTACCCATTCAATAAATGAATATCTATGAGTGATCAAAACTAATGAAAAAATAATTATGTTCCTCAATATTTTTTGGCTTTTTAACCTCCTGCATCCTAAAAAATTATTAATTCCAAGAAGTAGATTAAAAAGGGACTGAAAAATTACACCATAATATAAACAATATAATGTATCCAAAATGGAGTCACAATTTAGCACTTCTTCACCGCCCCCACCGACTGAACCTGCCCCAAAATTGCCCCCTCCATTACCTGCTGTAAGTTGGTAATAATTTTGCTTTGTATAATTTAGCACATTCTCGACAATGATATCTTACTTCAACCCCTCTTTTTAATTTTGTTAGTTGAGCTTAGATGCAAGTTCTTTCATCAGCTTTCTTTTAGTAACAGGATATTTTTTGTTGTTGGGCACATATATTATTCAACTATTGCCTCCAGCTATATTGATCAAATGTAAACACCACTATTGGCTGAGCTTTTCTTTCTACATTGTAAGTAGTACAATGTCTGTCAACATCTGTTTCTTCTAAACCGTTTCACATCTTTCTCAGAGTATGATGGGATTAGATTATGTTGTAACAGTTTTATGATCAGACAAGTGTCCATCTTATCTGTTCCCTATAGCTTTTTCTCCGAGAAATCCCTCCTCAAAATCTTATCAATAATTTTTCCAATCTATATACACTTCAGATTTTAACTTTTTTGATCATATCTACTTTGAATAATTACTTCTATTATGAATTGACATGTCTGATACCATCTAGTTGGTCTATTCTGTCAATGAAATCAAATCGTCAATAAAAGAATTACAAGTCAAAGAAAAACAAAAACCAATTTTGGGGTAGCTTTTGGGTGGAATAATGTCCTATCTACACTTGAACCTGAAAATTATATCAGCTCGCTACACTACAGCAGCAATCTTGCTGGGGATACGATTTTTGAACCCAATGATCATTTACTTCATATTATAGGAGTGGTCATTGTTCAATAATGCTGGTATCCTAGCAAAATTAATCTTCAATAAATGTTCGTTTTTTGCAGAGACCTGTTAGATCTGATTTACCATTACCACTAGAAAAACCACAGGCTGATCTGGAGGAAGACGTAGATGATGACGAAATATCTCAGCAAATGACACAATCATACAGTGAAATTTCTTTCAAATCTGGTTTCAGTCCGGAGAGCGAAATACCAATATCATCAACTCTAGAATCCATATCTTTAGTAGATGAAATCAAGCAGAGACCTATGACATTACCTTGCACCCAAAATTCACCGAGTTCTAAAAGGTTGGTTCCACTGAATCTGGAAGGATCTATCCATGTAGAAGGGAATATGACACATTTTGTTGCAGAAGATTTGGAAAATAAAATAAGACTATCTAGCCCCGTTGCCAAAAAAGGTGAACAAATTTCATTGGCCATACTTCTGTTGTCTCTCTGTGATGAACGTTTTTTTTAGATACGCCCATTATATCTAGTAACTCTCGAAATTGTACGCCAAGCCCTCTTTACCGACAGTTACTTGTACCTCAAGTTGGACAGCTTGATACTGCTCTAATCAATGATTTAGAGTGTGAAGCACATAGAATGGCGACATCGATTGATAACTTGATAGAGAATCTCTCTGGTATTTTACATTCTGTATGTACTTTCTTATGAGCTTATGTGTCAGTTGAAACATTCTACTCAATTACTTTTCGAATGTTTATTAGGTCGAATATTCCATGCAAAGAGTTGATTTTGAAGGCTGACTTTTTCAACTGGCAATACTATTTCGGATCTTTATTGTCAATTGGTTGTTTGGTTTTAGATATCGTCAATTACAGCAGACAACGTAGATGTTTACAAAAATGCGGTGGCAAAGATGTCTGATGCCATGGATTCAAATATCAAGGTATGATTAGGTTCCAATAGACAGGATCAATTGGTGCAACACTACTGTTTCAGAGCATTTATACAATGATGGCCAAAGCGGAAGAGGTTACACAATCCATGAAAATTATAGAGGGGCATGCTTCTAGAATGTATCCTTTTAATGAGTATTCAAAATTATCGATCATTTTAAGATTTTGATGTCATTTTATATTTTTCTTCAACATTGATTTATTTCATGGCTAACTTTTTGAAGATGGTTTTTGAATAGAATTTCATCTGTGTAATTGAAGGATACAAACATTTTGGGATAATCTCATTTTTGAAGGATTTCTAAAAGTTTCAAAATGTCATAATTTATTTATAACATTCAACTAACCTCTAGTTTAGATTGTGTTAAGATTCTATGGCCGTTCTTCAAGGTTTGTTGAGCGACACTAGAATTTTCTGGTCTTGTGCTGTGTGTTCTTTGAAACGAGTGTTAATAGCGTGCTTAGCCTGACCAATATATTTTTTTTGTCAGACCTCACAGCTTATCTCATATAACCCCGAATTTTCATTTTCCAACATCCTTTCTTTGGGGTAACCTATCATATCAATAAATGTTATGGATAATATTTTAATAATGGAAATTTATATAAACTATGACAACTACGATGAAATTTTCAAGTTTAAAATCGATATAAATAAAACAAACATAACTTTTTTCTTAACTAGAAAACAGAAAGGAAATCAAGAGACTTGTGGATCTTTTTGAGAGTTTCATTTAAACTGTTATTGTGTAAGAATTGAGAAATTGCTTGCCGATATAATTTTCAGGTGATTCAGGGAAGTTTTTTCCTGAACGTCTAAGAGTTTTCCAACGTATAATAAATTACTGACATATATCTCTTCAGTGTTTTTCTCCACAAATTATTACACATTTAACCAAATATTCAAAAAAGTATATTCAACCCAAGCTGTCATCTTCAGACTGTTTTATCTCTTTCGAGTTCATTGGACAGCATAAAAGGCCAAGCAGAATTTCCTCTTCCTGCTTCAAATACCACAGAATAATGCCCACACCAGTTTCAAAATCATTGTTCATAAACACAAAATCAATTCTACATGATATGTAACCTCTTATCTAAAGAGGAGAGTTTCAAAATATACATAACAAATATAAAAACGCAATCTTTTTGACTCGGCCTGTAACTAGTCTTCACAGGATCATATTTTTTTAAATTATAAGAGTTGTTCATTTCGATTTTAGAGGAACTCGGCTAGTTTTGAATTGCTAATCTTTGTAAATGAATAAAATGAACGTCGCTCTTAGAAGTGTTTTATTCATCATCTCTTGGATAGCGAAACGCGCCTCGAGAAACGGCGGCATTTTGTTCTGGTGGGGTGAAAGTGTTTTCAATCGATTAATTTCATGCCAGAGATTCCAATTGATACTTATCAGGTTTATTAAGTTTTTTGAACTAAGTTTGTGTTGTCAATCCCATGAAAACCTCGCAAGCGAAAACCCAGCACTATTATTCGATGTCAAATTTGGTTTGAATTTATATTCAGTAAGTAAAATGAAGAAATGAATACAATGAATGAATACAAGTACCAAAAATCTTATATTTTATTGAAGAACTTGTTAACAACATTAAAATATATATTGAAGTAACATTACACAATATAGAGTGTTTAATGGAACATAGGATAATAAACACAATTAATGAAACCAGAGCGGTTCTTGATTGAAAGTTCAAAGGTATTGACCGATTTCTGCGGTTGCATTTTTTCATTCAATTCAAGATGGTATGATAATAAAAAAAGATTGTTATGTATATATGTTGTACCAAAAACTGCAAAAAAAAATTATTTCCACACCAACTGATACTCACACTGAATTTCAATTAATAACGAATCAGGTATAGAAAAATATATCTTGTACCTCAGTATTCATTCGACATCAGTTCTTTACAGATTGCAATGATGTAGGAGGATATTAAACAAATTTGAAGCTAAACTATCGTGAAACTTACTATAGATTGAATGACAACCAGGCAATCATTAATAGAACCTATACACTCTTTTCTGAAGTCTTTTTATTCATCATTATACATACATTCTTCGTCATCAAAAATACTCCTATTATGTAATCAAACCTTGCTGTGATTAAGTAATCAGTTCATAGGAAACTAAGTTTATTTTGGCTGTAACATTACGAAATACCCTTTGATGAAAATCTATTTTTATATCATTTTATATAAACTAGATTTTGCATTAAATATTCCAATATTCAAAAGTCTAAGAACGGCAAATATACTGATAAAGCTATGGAGTAGATCGCAGAAAGAAATCATTAAAAAATCTTCAAGGGAATTCTCTAATTCCAATTCACTCTATTGTTACTTTCAAATCTTCAACTCTTTCCTTGGTAGAATTGGCATGTGGCTGAGAATCTTCTTGAACATATAGAAAAAAACAAATTATCAGTCATTAAATCCAAAAAAATTCATTACCATCCTTGGATCTGACTTTTATTCACAAGTCTTCCAATGTGATGAATATTGATATGGAAACTAACGAATTTGGGTTGTTGATAAAAACATAAAAATTTGAGTTTGTTTTTTGTGCGAACATCTACACTTGAGGAAAAAGTAGTGATACAAATATTGGAACTTTGAACTAAGAACTTTGCTCTGATTTACCATTCAAAAGAAGGAATAAGGCTTTGAATTCATTTCAAATTTGGACTGATGAGGTGTAAAAAGCATAAATCTCAATTTACATGCCTGAGGAAACTATTGTATAGTGAAACACATGTTGCGGTTTTGTAAACTGTTAAATGAAAATTTCACAATGAAGTGTTTCTCGAATAAAAATTTGATAATAAAAAAACAAACTGCAAAAAATATATAATCTAATATAAAGCAATTTTATGGAACATTTGACAGTGAAGTGTGATAAAGATTGTTCTACAATCTTCAACTCAAACGTAAAAATAACCTCAAGTATAAGAGCTCATAGAAAATGTGAAACTTCTGGTTCTGAAAGATGTGTTCACTTGGTGAATATCGCAGATAACGGAATGTATTAGTAAATATAATTTGACAGTAATTCCTCACGTTAGTATTTCTTTGGTAGTAAAATTAGTGAAGAGAAAAATCATGTGCATTACATATTAAACAATCGAAAACATACCTGATGCATGCTAAATAATGAGTCAAGAACTCTGAAATGTTTTCAGTCAAAGTTGTTATTGATATAAACTTCTCATCACATTCAGTCATGGCTTGATCCTAATAAAATCGTAAAACATTATTTATACAGATATATAAAACATTAAACTTGGATAAATACACTATTTTTGAGGCGATGTTGAATTTATCTAGTAGATACGATTATCATCCTCGGTTATTGATTTGTTGCCGCAATCATACTATTCGCTCACTTCAATCGACAACATCCAAACTAAGTTCTTATCCAGCAAGAACAGATCCAGTCTAGCTTGCACCGGTTTTCAAAACATCAAAACACACTTTGCATACCCGGACCGGTTTGTTTTCTCCAAATTTAATGATTGGCACTTCTTGATCAGAGCATTTGCTGCAAAGTGCCCTACCGCAGTGCCTGCAGTGATGTGTTCTGACTGTGATCGAGAAATTTTTGCCACACTCTTGACACGAGTCGGTGCTTGTCCAAGTTGCGGGTTGGGATAGTTGATCCAGAAGGCGATTGAGAAGTTGCTTGCTGGGTACCTACGATGGTTCAAGATACAGATTAACCAGTGGGCCTTTTGCCTTTTTTTTAATTACCTGGTAATTGAAAATCGTTATTCTTTCGCAGTTTTCGGTAGAAAGGCAAGCGTTTGCCTTGACCAAAACACGGCAGAGATTTGCGTGACCTTTCATGTACGCTAGAAGTAGAGGTGAATTGCCCTGAAGAGAAAATATTGATTGATTGATTTATTCATCAGTAGAAAAGGGTCTTTCTGTAACAATTATAGCGGGTATTCCAACAGTGTGTCTTTAGCTGATTTTTCGATAGAAATGATATACGAGAAAAAAGTCTTTGTTCACTAGTCAGTACTATTTTTTTGAACCACAATACGTCTGTGCCAAGTAATTAATTTTTCCAAAATAATAAAGTGATATAGGCTCTGATAATGACGATGTACTACTATCACTTTATACATGGTGGCGTTTTATTTATACATTTTCAGGACTTTTTTTTATATTTACATTTGTACATTTTTGTAACTTTTTTATATCTACATTTATAATTTTTTAATTTTTTTTTCTATATTTACATTGTATTTCGTGGACTTTGTTAATGAGGTGCAAATCTTCAGACAATAAAGTATATTTGGATTTGATTTTTACAGCACTGAATTTCTTTTAGCCAAAATGCGCCAGTTTTTTCAAATATTTAAATTTTCATTTTGTGCAGTGTTGTACACGAAAGTGACCACTATTTATTTTTATACAGGGCGCTTTAAATGTTTTTCGCCCACTTCAAGTTTATAGGATTTATTCAAATGGAATATTCTGTATATCAGTTCGTCTCATTCCATTCGAGGTAACCAGCATGTTATAGAATTTAGAATTTATTTATTTTATTATTCATCACTGAAAAATTTACATATACATACAAGAGAATACATATATACATGCAAAAAACTTATCGGACTAGTCACAAGGCAATAAAGAAAATTCAGAAATATGTAATTAAAAATATAAAAAAAATATTCATACAATTAGATTACAGTTCTCTACAATGTAGAGAACTGTTAAAATTGAGAGTTGTTTGAATATGTTTCTACAAGAGGTTCCACGAGCTACACCAGTCATACATCTAATTATTTTCTTTTGGATGATGAAGTTTTTATTCATATGTACTGAATTTCCCCAGAAGATCAATCCGTAGCTCAATGCAGATTGTACAAGTCCAAAGTACGCTAATTTAAGTATGTCTAATGATATTGTGCCCTTGAGTTGTCTGATAATAAAGCAAATTATACTCAATTCATTTGTTATATCATTAAAATGAGGTTCCCATGTCATTTTTTGGTCTATTTTGATACCCAGAAATTTAATGAAATTCACCTGTTCTATTGATTTATGATTCACTCGTATTAAAAAATTCATATCACAATTTATATTTTTTGTTGTGAATACCATAAAGTATGTTTTTTGTAGGTTAACTAATAGTCCAATAAACGAGCACCATTTATGAAAATAATTGCCACAAATGCCTTGCTCTGGTAACAGCATTTTTCAATTCATTATCTGATATGAGAATATTGGTATCATCAGCATACATGACAATTTTTCCAGCATTGGGACATGAGTACACCATATCATGATAAAAATTATAAAGAGAACAGGTCCCAAGATTGATCCTTGAGGGGCACCAGTATTTACAATTTTTTCTGTTGATCTATTTCCACCTAATACTACAATTTGTTGCCTCTCTCTCTGAGATATATGTTATTCCTAAGAGTTTTTTCATTAAAAGCAGAATTTTTTTAAAAAATTAATGATTCGGAAAGGCACGGCTTGCAAAAAATGTAGGCTGAGTAGGGAATGAAGAGACCATTTAAAATAGTTGTGTTATACAAAAAAAAAATTATGAAACCATTCCTTTTTGGTGCCTTATAATTTTTATACAAGTGACCTTATCATTCAGATACAGTGTTGGGACACCTGATATACAGAAACGTCATTTTATAATTTTTGCTTACCATAATGTCAGGATTATTTATAGGATAATTCGGCATACACTCTAAAAATAGTTCGCAAATAGCTGCAGCATTTTCTTTTCCTAATTTACAGAGTTCATGAAGAGGATTTCGACCCTGAAAATTTGAAAATCATGATTCACAATCAACATCCTTTTCCATATTCTATAGAGTTATGCAACAATGCATCAGTATCCACAGCAGGTCATACAAGCTAGCTACGTAGAAGACCTGTTTATTCCACATGTTAGATCACTTGATTCACACAAAATTGCTAACAATGTTGACCCAATACTCTTTAACAATAGTTTCATCTACTGAGAAGAGTGGAAAAATACCTATAAAAATTTATTAGTCAGTTTTTAAAAAACATGTCTTTTAAACCAACTATGTAGCCCCAATTGAACCCTATCTAAGTCCATGTGAGTTTCTGCAGATAATGCAACATTTGGATTTTTCTCTTTTTTTTTGCAAATTTATCTGTGTTTCATGAGATAAACATTATTCTTGCTGAATCATGAATTGAAATCTTTTCGACTATAGAGATAAATCTCCCAAAGGATGAAAAGTGCATCCTAGAAATCTGATCAAAGTTGTGATCCTAGTCCCGAGTTGGTTTTTTTCAGAAGATTTCCAATTGAAATTTATTAAAGAAAAAGTATTTTGGCTGAAGTAAACAAAGAAGAATGTTGAATATTTGGGGAAAGTGATCCTGACTACACAAAAATGTAACACGCATGCCTAAAATTATTTTGTAGAAATATGCCAACGAGACATTGCTAATATGCATCATGAATGTTCAATGAAGGCACCGAGTCACTGTTGCAGGATTCTGTATATGTTACTCTGAATTACCTTTAAATTATTCGCCTCGGCGTCTATTGTAGATTCAGTCAGTAATACCCTAACGACATTCAGGTGTCCTTCTCTGACAGCAATATGTAGGGCATTGTCATTTTCAACATCGACTGCATCACAATCTGCATTATTTTGGAGTAAGGCAGATACTGCTGGTCCGTTACCAGCTTCGGAAGCTACATGAAGAGCAGTACGTCTAAGAAGAAATAATACTGCATTAATATAGTTCCGGTTCTTAAAAAATTTCAATATACTGAACAATACCTGAACAAAAATAATGAGTTTATAATAATTGTGTTCCATGTTTTGTCCTTACAGAACTATGTTTTCAACTAACTTGTATGAGGCTGTCGGTTTTCAGGATTATTTGATGTTGGTTATTATGATTTTCCTAACGTTTCGCCACGACTGGTTAGCATCTTCAGTCTCTATACTTCTGAAGATATCAATCACTTATATCAATGAAACATGAGAAACTCACTTAAAATAAAAGACATTCAACAATCCCAAAAAACGACACCTGTTAAATACTTGATCAAGTATCGAGACAATAAATAATTTATTTGATAATGATTTATTGATACATAATCAATAAATGAAATACTGAAAAATGCAAACTCTAAGATAGTTTCAGGATTGAAAAATACCCTCAAGAACTGTAAAAACCTGATCACTTCGACTTTGGGCAGAAATTTGCGAAGTATTTAGTCCTACAGTACCTAAAATATACAGTCTCCCAAAACTTCAAGTGCCAATTAAGTCTCAGCTATGGATTCTCCTATGTATAAGACTGCAGAATGTTCAACAAAACAGTTCAAAACTATATCGATTTCGCAACCCAGATTGATTATCGTTAATTAATAACCATGAACTGACCATGGAAGTATCTTTCAAAACTGTTCATACACTTCAACAATAGTTGATCAACACGAGAAATAAGATGATGGAGAATAATAAGCCTGGGATTCGCGAAATAAGCTGTAAAGATTGCGACGAAAAGTAAGTTGGTCAAACTATGTGGGCTACAATAACTTGTTTTATGAAACACGTTTCACTTATTCGGTTTCATAGACCAGAAAAGTCTAGTGTCGTTGAAAGTACCTAAGAAAATGACCACAGAATAAATAAGAAATGCTTGAAATAGTTGAGACCTGTACATGACAACAGACCTTTGGAGCCTTCAGTCTAGAAGTCGAAAAACGAGATATATAAACAGCAAAAAAATGTCCTATCCAAACAGATCTTTGTTTTTTCTGTTGCTATGAGTAGCAACCTGTGAAATATTAGGTAAGAAGTCATTACAACAATAATTAGGAATTGAGATACATTATCACAATAATTAGTACTAATAGTTCGTCTAGAAGAATATGAATTTATCAAAACAAGATCCCAACAGCAAAGAAAACGACAAGCCTAAGTAAGATCGGATATTAATAAAAAAAGATATGAAAATAAGAAAAGCAAAAATGATTTCAAAGTTCAAGACCTCATAAGGTTCATCTTAAATCCAAACAGCTTCGTGAAATGTGCACAAAGTAATTTTCCTCTTTCTCAAACTACACCGGAGGTTTAATTAAATATATGTAGTCAATAATATTTGATGATTTTGCCTGATTAGTAAATTTATTGGAGAAATGGTGGATTCCCTGACTTATGTGATCAAATGCAAATATCAAGCTTACTTCTGAGCATCTCTGTCATCCACTCTGGCACCTGCTAATATTAGACTTCTCACTAATGTTTCGTTCCCATATCGAGCAGCTAAATGAATGGGCGGAGTTAGCATCGGATCTTGAACTCTAGAGTTGACATCCACTTGCACTGTGAGAAGAAACAAAGCACTCTCAATGTCTCCTTTCTTGATAGCGATATGAAGAAAGTTCTGACCTTTTGCATCGAACTGAAACCATCAACTTTCAGTAATATAAATGTTAATTTCGATAAAGACATTAATTGTAGACTCAAAGCTCACATTAGATTTGAAAGTTATTTATAAAAGAACTTCACGGTAATTTGCTAGTATTTACCTGTTCCGCTGCACTTGGCAATTTGTCCAGAATTGCTTGAGCTGCTTTATTGTTTCTAAAAGTTAATGCAGTTGCAAACGGGCTCAAACCCGCTTTATCTCTTATGCTCAGATCAATTTCTGGAACGCTCAACAGCAACGATATTATCTCATCTTGTTGACTTTCTATGGCGATATGAAGCGGCGTTTTATTTTCGGCATCTCTAATGTTCACGTTAGCTCTGTGTTCTACCAAAGTCTGAAAAGTCATCAAATGAAATCAACAAAATAATTTTCTACCAAAACTTTGATTAGGGAAAAATATGTATCAATATCAAATTCACCCTAACAACTGGTTCCAATCCCCACTGACAACACAGATGCAGAGGCGATCGTTTATCTTTGGCCTCATCCCCACCTGCTCCGTTCGGACCAGGCATCCTCGGAGAGTTCAAATCACACCCTGCTTGGATGAGAAATATCGCTGCCGCTTCCTTGTTTTCATCGATAGCCCTGAAACAATTCGAAATTTTGACTGATGGAAGAGGTTTATATAAATCATTCATTGAAAATTGTATGTCAATTGCGACATCATTTTGATGCCAGAAACTTTTGCTGCTGAATCTACATTTCAGAGATTTAATGCAAACAAGCATCTAGAAATACCATATTTCCTACACCTGGTCACTTTTGCCACTCAACATCTTCGCTAATAATTGTAGTTTTTATGCTATTTAAATGAACGTAAACACAAGAAATCAAAACGAACTAGGATAACATCTCATAATTATTCGTTTTTTGAAAAAGGATCCCAATATAGAACAATTGAAGCCTACCAGTCTCTTCCTAGAGAAATCAGAAATATAGTAGACTAGCAACCCGCCCCGGCTCGGCACGGGTGCAATGCTGATACTAAATATGTATACATATAAATGCGTGAGATCGCTGCTGATCATAGAGTTCTAAAGAGCGAAGTGCGGCCTTTGACGCGTTATTTATAGGCACGCACCGCAGACCCCCTGCCGGTACCACCGCAACCGCTATGTCCCTGCATTTTAAATCTGTAATATCTTCGAAAATAGTCATTTGAATAATATGCTGTAACGGGCCATATTGATCTATATTAAACGCACAATGTTTTTAAGGTACTTAATTGGATAAGGATTAATGCTGTATTGCTTGAAATCGTTTCGTAAATAAGCCATTATTTCTCGAGGATGAAAAATATTTATTGTGGGTTATTCGTAAGAGATAGACATATACTATCGCCGACTTTTTTAACCTATGTTGACCTCTTCACTGAGAATATACCTGCTCATGAGTATCCCACCAGAACAAATGAATATATGTATCCCCTTCATAGACTAACAGCAACTGAAAAAAGCGTCCACTAAATGTCAATCAGGCTTTTCAACCATCTTCCTAACAGAATAAAACGGACTAAGAAAATTAGAGTTTTCAAAAGAGAACTAAAAAAACTTCTGACAGATTTAGATCCCTATGATTTGAACGCATATCTCACTGGAACATTCATTTAAAAATATTTATAACAAAAAAATCTGTACATTCTTGTTTGACGCCATTTCTTTCTATGTTACCGAGTTTTTGCAATAAAAGTTTGTAATCTACTCTGAAATAAAGCTGTTTATTATTATNTCAGAATAGGTCTTTATGCCCAGAAAGTACCGTATCAAAATTTTTGAAAAAATGTGCTCAAAAACATATTGGAATGAACTAGACGTTTGCTCTCTCTACACTGTGTAGAGTTCCCAGTGGAAGAATATTTTTGATGGTGTCTCAACACTTCCCCCTTTATTTCAATTATGTAGTTAACAGTATTTTTTGTTATTTTTTTTTGTATATATTTATCCGAAAATGATAAAGGCAATTATTATCACTATCATAAATATTAATTTTGATTTTTCCAGATGATAATTTTCGGAAAGATCCATGAAAATTTTTTATACTGTTTTCAACACAGCCACAAAACTTTTATCGAGTGGAATGTTTTCTTAAGGTCAATAACATTATTTTTTATCTCCACCTCTCATTTTTACCTGTGTAATAAGGTCTGTCGACATCCCTCCGGGCCAGGACCCCAACAATCAGTATCTGCTCCATGGCGGACCAGTATGCTAGCAATGTCTTCTTGCCCATGGTCTAAGGCGGCCCACAAGGCACAGTTCTCGTGTTTGTCCGTAGCCGACATATCAACCCCTCTGGTACATAGTGCATCCACTACGTCAGCCAAGCGACAGTGGATGGCAAGCTGGAGTGGCGTTTCATAATCACTAGTTCTAAGAAAGCAATTCACAATGGTCAAATTGAAGTTAATCATTGACTTTCAAATAGGTGTTCCAAAGTATGATATTAAACAAATATGGTGGGCTGTTAAAAAAATTAGTGGATGTTCAATTTTCGCGGGCTATATTCATTTGTTTTGAACATACGTTCAGCTATTCAGCATGTAAGTTTGTTGGTGAGAGGCATAATAGTTAATTCTTGGGAAACCTTTCGGCTTTCTACTTCTTCATCATCATACACAAAGTGGGAAAACTTATTTCCTTTCTTCGAACATTTTCTTCATTATAACGAAGAAGTAGAAAGCCAAAATGATTTTCCTCAATAAATAACGAATATTGAGATTAAAACCAAAGATACTTACTTTGCATTTATATCTACACCATGGTTCAATAAGAAAATTGCAGTGCTTGAGTCTTCCTTTAAAATTGCTAGATGCAACAAAGTAAAGTCTTTTCCGTTTCTAATATTGACATCCGCTTTTCCCTGTGGTGAAGAAAAGTAAAAATGTTACGATACGAGATGGACTGATGAACTAATTTTTAAGTAAGTTTCAAGTCTTAAGCAATGGACAAGCTCTCAAATTCTTCCATTAGTCCAGTGATTGATGAGATGGATTTATCTATTGGTCCATTTAAAACGTTAGCGTGTTTCTATTTGTTGAAAAAATCCATCAGAAATTTTCTGTTAGATTTAAGAACTCGCCTAATGAGTTTCAGGATGTTGAATGCTAATAAGGGGATATTCATTCATATTTACAACCTTCAACTTCACAACCCTAGAATATGAAGTCAATATCTTCACCTACTACAAAATGACGGAACATTTATTAATTTCCTGAAGACAAACACATTAATACCGATATTTCTAGAAATATTCCTTTTTATCTGCCATATGACAATTCTAACAACCCGATAAGGTTTGTTAAGTTATTTTTTGTTTATAAAAACGACAAAAAAAGTCAGTACGACAATAAACATCATGGTTCAGTTAGATTATTCTCATTTAATTTTCGGTTTTACTAGTAGAAAGGTACCACGTCAACAATCTGTAAAACGGTTCATTTTCGTCCAATGGAAGAAAAAAATTGAAGCGATTGTCACTTACGGTGCGACGCGTAACTTTCACGAGACCGAAATGATTTTCAATGAACGTTTTCCGAACCGTCCTATCTGTAGAAAATATTTGAGGGAAATTGTATCCAAATTCACAACTACCGGTAAAGTACATAACAAAACGCCCCCAGGTCATCCGTATATTTTGGAAGAGCAGCAAGTGCAAATAATTGGTGAGATGGTAGTAAATCCTGAACAGTCTACTTATTCCGTCGCGAATGTTTGTGAGGTATCTCCTTCTACTGTGTGGAGACTTCTGAAGAGGAATAGGTATCATCCATACAAAATTAAAATGGTACACCAATTAACCGAAGATGACCTTGATCAAAGAACAGGATTCTGCGAAATCGTGACGGAAACCATTGCAAGGCATCCTACCTATATCCACAATATTTGTTTTAGTGACGAATGTACATTTTTTTTAAACGGCAATGTTCACAAACAAAATTGCCGTCATTCGCAATTTTCACGTTTTCCGAGAAACTCATACCCAATATCCAGAAAAAATTAACGTTTGGGCAGGAATATTTGGAAAACCATATTGTGGGACCTCTATTTATTGATCGAAATTTAACAGGGGAACTTATTTGAATATGCTGGAAATTACTTTTGACCCTCTCATTACTGAAATCGTCGAAGCGAATCCTAATGAATTCGATATGGATATTGTATTCCAACAATGGAGCACCACCACATTACTCCAGATAAGTAAGAATGGCCAGCCCGCTCGCCAGATTTGACACCTTGGGACTTTTTTCATGGAGCTATTTGAAGCATATTTTTTTATGATGATCGAATGAAATTCCACGGCTAATAGAGAATATCAAAAAAGGTAACAAGTTGCTAACGGCAGTTAATATATTGGGAGAGCAGTGGTCGTGGGTTTTTTATTTTGTAGAACAACCTTTTTTTTGGATGGGGCGCCACTTGATTTGATTTTGCTAAAATCAAGAAATAAAAATATGCATACGTTAGAAAATTATTTAATAGTTGAGTTTCGGCTTTGATTTCTGCCTCTTCCATAGCAGTATTTAGGCTCAAAGTATCCTTGTCGAGGTTAACCAAAGTAGCGTCGTCTGCAAACATAATCCAATACTGGATATATGGCAGAGAATAATGAATATTTGTAGAGATATTGACGTTACTGTGTTCGAAAATGTTCGGCGTGAAATGTCGGATAGCCTGTTCATATGTCAAGAAGTTCAAGGCAACCATTTCAAGCATCTTCTGAACTGACCTCAAAGCTTATTACCTCATATTATGTACTTAAATGTCAATGCCATGCCGCCACTTTGTAGTAGTTGAAGATGCTGACATTATATTCTAGGGTTGTGAAGCATTTGCCAGGAGCTTCAAAAAGATGTGTCACAAACACCCCTTTCCATTTAGTTTTTTTCCCAGATGGCGCCCCGTCGCCATCTTGAAAGTTTAATCTGTCAATTTCAATTCAAAATAAAGTATTCATGCATTAATTTCATTATCCAAAATTTAAATTTTTTGAGTTGACTCGTTCATAAAATAAAAGGGGGGGACATTAAAGAAAAGCACTGTTTAGTAAAAACTTCCGCTATTCCTTGATATTCAACCGTTGACTAGGAATGTTTGGAAACTAACCTCAATCAAAACTGGAACTAAGTGATTGTAGCCCTCATTCAAAGCCAAACTTATCGGTGTATCTCCGTTCATGTCCGCCAAGTTGAAGTTGCAAGGGACCCTGGATTCTGCTGTATTCTCTAAAAAATGTGAAACTACCTGATACAAGATTTTCCTTCCAGGCAGAAACTTACCGGTCTTTTCCAGCTCAGTGTTAAAGTCAATCAAAGCCCTGATACACTCTTCCGAATTACTTTTGATGGCATAATGTAAAGCCGACTGTCTCAGCTCGTTTGTGAGAAGATTAGCATTGGCCCCAAGTTCAACTAGAGAACGTACTAATTGTCGGCAATTTTTGGAACATGCCAAGTGCAATGCCGTTTCCCCTTCGTAAAAAATAAAACAATTTACGACTTGAAACAAAACACCAACAAAGATCTTACCTTCGCTGTTAACATGGTCTAAATTCCCCACCTTCCCACTCAAAAAAATTGCGGCATTCTCTGCACCGTTCAAAATCAGAACCTGTAATAGACTGTTACAAGTCTCAGAATACACAGGGCTAGTCTGAATGTCACGCTGGAGAAGAGCTACGGCGTAAGAGTCTTCGGCGTCATCACCCGATTCATATTTGAGCAAAGAGAAATAAAGCGGAGTATGTTCTTCGTTCGTCTTCAGGTTAACGTTTAGATAGTCCTGCTTCAAGAGCAGATTGAATATCGGCTTGTTGTCGGCTTGGATCGAAATGTGGAGAGGTGTGCTTGTAAAAATATTAACGTCAGTTGCATATCAATCAATGTTAATTAATTAATTTCGAGATACTTACAATCCCTGTCGATTTTGAGCGTTGACATTGACGTTTTTGTTTATGAGTTTCTCTGCAATTTTCTCGCAATCTTCAATATTATTAGCACCGGCGATCAAGTGCAATGCAGAATCATTTTCATTTCTAAAAAACATTTCATTATATAGTCAATTCCTTAACTAATTTTTTCTTTTATTGAATACTTAATTATAGGTGCATCGAAAATTAGCTATATAAAGCTAAATTACAAAAGTGATTCTGAACAGTGTAACATCAATTTTTTAATTTTCAATCCAGTAAATCATTCAAGAGATGTTAGAATAATATATCTGATTTTTCATGGTAATTATTTTATTGAAAAGATGTAGCAATAACTAGGACTTATTTTCGACTTAAAAATAACCTTCAGAGTGATATTTGAAATACATTTTTACATACTTAAACTTGATCTCGATCTCTCAAAATGTTAGCTACTCATTTTCCTGTGATACGAGTCCCAAATATTGAGTGAATAATATTGAGTACTACTCCTATATACTCGTAGTATTGATTCTTTAAAGAGACGTCAACATAAATTTTCCAGATATTGTGCCTGTTAGATAGGATGAAATAAAGATGACTATTCACAAATACCGAGTATATTGATAAGGGATACTTTATCTTATAGAAGACTTGAAAATGATGTCATTTTAGTCCATCTCTTGAGAATGCTAGAGGCACCATAAGAAGACTCACTACCCAGAAAACCTCAGGCCTGGCCTAAACCCCAAACCGAGTACTGAAAGCCCTATCTTTGAAGGGAATAACGTCAATGACGACCATCATTAACGCTATACTTCGACTACAACAATTCCCATATTCCTTCAAGGAGGCCAAGGTCATTATGATCCCAAAACCAAACAAGAACCCCACATTCCCCGACAATCATCGGCCGATAAACTTGATCCCATCGATAAACAAGGTCGGAACACTCAAAGGAAGTTCAAGTCCTGACAGTTGGTGACTATGCAACAGAGTTTCAACCTGGACAAAGGATAACACACAGGAACGATATTCCTAGACGACTCCAAAGCGTTCGTTAGAGACTGGTACGATGGTCTCGTTGCCAAAATGACAAATTTTGGCTACATGAGAACAATAGTAAGACTAATCGATTTTTTTCTAGCAGACCGACGATGCCAATGAAGAGTAGGACAGAAACTATCCACCAGGCGACTTCTGGAAGCAGGAGCCCTACAGGGCCAGTTATTTCCCCACATATCTTCGGTGTAAACAGCAGACGTGCCCAAGCCGGAGAAGAACTTCAACAAGTTGGCACTCTAAGCGGACGACACAGCTCTACTGGCGGGATCCACCTACCACGCGCTAGTTACAGGATACCTCCAACAACAAGCGGACAGATTAGAGAAATATGCCAACCTCTGGAAGATCAGTTTCAAACCCCAAGGCGCAGTTCTTTCCCCTCGCATTATTTTGCGATGTATACAGCAGACGTGCCCAAGCCGGAGAAGAACTTCAACAAGTTGGCACTCTACGCAGACGAGATAGCTCTACTGACGAGATCCATCAACCACGCAATAACCGGACAGATTATTTAGAGGAATGTCCCAATCTCTGGAAGATTAGTATCAAACCTATCAAGCGATACTATTTACCTGGAGAAAGGTACATATGAAAGGGTACGTCGTCTTCAATAGACAGAAGATTCCTTAGACAAACGAAGCAAGATACCTAGGGGTAACCTTTGATAGGAAACTAACATTCATGTTCTATATCCAACAGAGATTAGGGCTAAGTGAAACTGCTCCTAATCAAGACCATCCTACTCCTCATCATCTTGTGTACCACCATTGCCTGGGGCCAGCGCGGAGAAATATACAGACTCCAGATCCAAACTTTTATGAATGTCTGCTTGCAGGAGGCCGTGGACGCTCCTAGATACATACCCTGCCGATACATCGAACCTGGATCCTAGCATCCAGTACGTCGATTCGGACACACCCTAACCCAATTTATATTTAAACCTGAACGTAAATCAAAACACGAGTTATTCCTCTAGAACAGTGCCACCCGTGGGGGGCACCTCATCCGTCATGGTCATGGCCGTCATGGTTACGGCCTCATCCCAAGGTTCATGTATTCGTGCTGAAAAAATGTATGACTTTGAGCCTACTCTGAGATACCGAGTGCCCTCTAGTCGTAGAAGGATCAGAGGAGGTGAATTAAACGACAACAATTCTCTATGCAACCAGGAAGGGATTTATCGATTCCTCAAGAGCAGCAGAAGTATAGACAGGAGAACAAACTAAATGATGATTCGCCGCGAGAAATCTCGGACCCAGAACATCCGACAATCTCAGAAGCAACCAACGAGGTGACCAATCAACTGGAATCTTTTCAGTAGGTCATTATGGTTGCCGTAGAGGATATTCCGGAACATGGTCAAAATGTATACTCTTCCAAAGTTACACGCTCCGGCCTGGATAGATACAGGTGACTTGAAAGAGCGTCGTATGACTGACGGATGCGTCACAGGAGACCTACTTCCCAAGCCACACATTTGTGTTGCTTACCTACCTGATAAAGATAGGAATAAGATCAGAGACCCAAACCAGTACTTAGTATCTGCGTTGAGGACAACCAGAACACTACGTCCATTGCCTCATTGCGTTTGATAATGACTACCGCTTTCGTAGACGAATCGTCTGGCATAAATAGCTTAGATTTTTTAAACCATGGAAGTTCCTTACCTAGTAGACAATGTTGCATCACAATTTTGCTCTAACAAAAACAAGGCAGAAAACGAGTCTTCGTGTTTGATTGCTCTATGTAACAAAGTGTCTCCCTTGCTATCGCGGATATTGAGGTCTGCGTTGTGCTGAACCAAAGTGGCACCGATACTTTCGTTGCGACAACGGAGGGCCAAATCCAGAGGCAATTCACCATTTGGACTCCAGAGATTAACGATGTCTGACAGCTGAAAAAAATAAAATTTTTTCACTATCAAGGCCGTAGCCAGAAAACAATTTCGGGGGGGGGGGGTTCGTTTGGTGGTAGTAGAAAAACATGAAATATAAAAATAACGAAAGAAAGAAAACGGTGTTACATGAAAATATATATTTAATAGAAAACCATTACAGAAATATTAACATCTTTTTACAAAATCATGTTTAGTCGTTCTGGCTTGTGGAGTTTCTTAAATAAGTTTTGAGGCATTTCAGAGAAGAAAAAGTCCTTTTAAGGGTACATGTGGAAACAGGTAGTGTCGCCAAGATCTTTAAAAGTTTGTACGCACATTGCCGTAAGGTTTTTTCATTGTTTCGGGGAAGTTTTCTTCAATATTCTCTTTCAAGCACTTGGTTCGTTTTGCGTATTGTATTTGTAATATCTGACTTCGTGTTCTGTTTTATTTGTATTTTATAGGGTTTATTAAACACAGATCTGGGTTCAATTGCATCACTGGTTGCCCTGCAGCAGATGTTGCGCAGTGAGCGCTTCCCGCCATAGGCCCAGCCTCAATTGACCCATTCCTTCTTCGAGGTTTACACCAGCCGTGCGCAATCGTAACATGGCCATTAACGCAAACGGTCCAGAAGGGACATACTAGTGATTAATTCCATTGTCGCGGTTGGTGTTGTTCTCATAGCTCCTGTGATGTTTAAACAAGCCAATCGTTGCATTTGATATAATTTTTGGATGGCCGTTGCTTGTAGATGGCCGTTGCTCGGGGGGATCAATCCCCCTTGATCCCCCCTGGCTACGGCCTTGTTCACTATAGCTTTTCACTGAAAGTGAAAAGAATGATTCAGTTTTTATGAAGAGAGAAAGCTTCTCCAGTCCATAGCAAGCTGAACAATTTTTCTCATTTGAAACTTCTCATTGACAATTCTGAAAACTTTGGAGCATAGCAGAGCAGCTCTCCTATAAGGCTAAAAAAGTGCTCGACTTAAGTGCTTGACTCCGAGCACCAAAACCAAAGTATGTATACAGAAATTAACAGAAATAAACATGTGCATTTCATATTATTATTGGTCTAAATTTCATCACTGTAGAGAACTTACCTACCTACTTGAACATTTTCTATAATCTAGATGCTTAGGAGATCCGATGATTTCTAAAATATTCAAGTGACCTCTATTTACATCTTCGGACGAAGCAAAATTAATCATAACCCAAATTTCGATTGATATTACGGCATTTTATAAGTTGCGAAAAGGTTATCTAACGAGTGCAAAATTTCACTTTCGATCTAGTAGCTATTTCGATGTTTTCATGCCTGTTTATATTTAAAAAAATATTTTCAGGCTATAATAGAGCGATTACGTGTCCTTTGCAACTGTTGATAAGCGAAGTCATGGGGGATTGGAAACATGTGTGACCTCCACCCATACGAAAGTTTGGAATGTTGGTCGAGTACGGGATCAGAATTCCAAGTAATTACCGTTTGTAACCACCGAAATATCTCTGGCGGCAGGAAATGCTTCCTATCGGGATATATTATGATTCATGTTGACGCGTCCCTGAAAATGAAAGTTATAGAACCGATAATGGTATATACCTTTTGCAATAAAAGTTTGTAATCTACTCTAAAATAAAGCTGTTTATCATTATTATTATTTTAACACCTCGACACGTGTTCCGATCACCAAGTGAGGAGTTCGCATTTAAAATCATTTTATTGTATCAACATTATATAACCGTTTCCTATTATACGATGGTTTAAACGTTTAGGCCGTATCAGACACGATCTCTTGAACAGATCATGACACGTTGCAACAAGTAAACCCATGGCTTGAAGAATGTCAACGCATGAAATGATTTGTTACGGCAGAGCCTACTATAAAAAATTAATAAAGTATCCCTGTCCTCTCTATCCTCCCTTCTTAGATATATTGCATCTTTCATGTATCCAATTATAATTCAGAGAACAATGAAGAGTTGCACTTTCAATTTTTGAACTACCCAGTAAGAGCCCTGAGCTCGAGCATTGAAGAGACAAGCGAGCGCGCCAGACAATCTTGACATCATAGCCGGCTAGCGCGAGTTTCAGTTTCAGTCAACAGCACGTTGTATTAACATTAGCACGTTGCAAAAGAAATAGAATTTGATCGGCAGTTCAGTGAACAATCATCAACTTGTATTTGTTATAGTTGTAGTGTTCCATGACAAAATTATTCGTCGCCAGACAATTTATCAGAGGGAATTGAGATAAGTGAGAGGGTCAAAGCGATTGTGATAAGTTTACCAGTGCGATACATGGACTGTTTTGATTTTGAACGCGAGTCATGACTGGGAAATTGTTGCAGAAACTTTTTACGGATTATTCGGAGAGCCAGTAGTTACGATTAGGATGATTGTTGATTCTGGGAAGCATCTTTTTTGAGAATCGAGTATGAGGAATGTCGTGTCGAACATTTTAAGAAACATGAACACATTCGCACCGGCTGTGATAATCACCTTATTGTTAAATAGTAAGCTCATACTTGTCTCATTTATTCGACTTGTTGCCTTATTGATCTTTCAAAAGTCGCACAACTCCATGTGCGATATAAAAACGCGTGTTGTCGACCTCATTTCGAGCGGTGTTTTTTAAAGCTATTATTTTCATCAACTGTTTCTAGCGTAATTGCAATCGGTATGAAAATTTGCTGTCCAATCACAATTTACTGCTCCATTTTGATGAAAAAATCAACCATCAGGTACAACTAACAAATTATTGAATCAACTTATGACTTTGGAATTCACGATTGACTTTCGGTATTTATTCGACTAATTTCCGTATTTTCCGTTAAACTTTTTGAAACCGTCAAATAAATCAAGTAGTCATTTGTAGCATATAAGTATAATGGGAATTAGATAAAGATGTGTTACTGATGGAATTTCAATTGCTTATTCTTGAAANAACGCTGTATATTAATGGAGAAGTATAAGACCACTTTTTACGTAGCACCGTAAATAAATTAATATTTATTGAATTAATTTACCATGCTATGGATTCTGATTAATGTTTTACATGAAACTCTTCCTGGGGTGCATGCAAAATAATTACATTTATAGTCAAATTGCTATTGCAATTTTCTAAGTACCTATCTGTATTTTTTTCTTTAAATAAAATACAGCTCATGTTATTCGGTAATAACGTAATTTTTTCTGAAAGTTAAACAATTACAAAATCGGTTTTGGGTATGCGGTTTTTGAGTTCATTCGTTACAAACATATAACAAATGAAATATTTCCTCCTTATATTAGTTTAGATCACATGAGATATTCAACTTTTTGAATTTTTCATTTCCTCCGCCGTGACGTAATTATAAAATCTTATTTGGGGGGGGGGGAAACATACACAAAGCAGAAAAACCACAACACCGTGAACTAAATTGTATTTATTATCTTCTTTAGTAAATTATTCTGTTGACAATGACCCAGAAAATATGTTTTTCACTAATTTAATAACTTTCAAACATTAAAAAAAAATCGGTACCAACTTGAGAATCATTGTGTGTCAGTTTTTTGTCAATGAATTGAACTGGCAAAATACCGAACAAAAAAGCACACATATAAGTTCCCTCTATTGAGTCTATTGTGTTTAAAAACAGGTATGTAGATAATCTAGTTGTCCCTTTGAATTTGAAGTAGGGGAAATATAAACACGTTCTCACTGAATAATTAACACAAAAAAGTGAACATTTGAAACAAACTGTTACTTTTGATTGTTACCGTATGTTGAACGTTTTATTCTCAGTAGATGTTGCGGTTATTAATAGAACTACTTGCAATAAAAATAACAATCTAAAGTAAAAGATAACTCTGGCGAATAAAGAATTGCCTTCAATAGTGTTTTGAAACTGCCAATAACTTTCTCATATCACCTTCAGTGGTACAAACTTATTAGGATAGTTTAATATTGTCACACCAAATCTCTCCCCAACCATAATTGGAAAAAATCATCAATGTTTTGAGTCAACCAAAAGTCAACGTTCGTGTTATATTCTATTTTTCATTTGGCGCCACTCCATAATGAATCATCTTCATTACAGAAGATACAAAATCGCTATCCTCGCACAGACATCACGAATAACACGTGCAAAAAAAATAACGCGATTAACTTCTGATATATTTGGTCATATGAGTCATACTGGAATGTACTTCATTGAATTCGCGTGCATATATAATTATATTCAAATGAATTTGTTTTCGGTGAATCACTCTAAATAAGTATCATCATTTAGGCACTTGAAAATGTTTTTTCTCGGACCCACCAGGAGCGGCCATAGGAAGTGAAGAAAAATGGATCGTAGTATCTGAATTTGGGCTATTGGATCCTGAATGAACCTTTCTGGCAGTTTTATGGAAAAATACACTTTGCTGCATACTTAGCAATACTTATTGAGTGCTAAGTAGTGCTAAGGCCTACTTAGCACTTCTTATCGAGTGCTTAGTAGATACCAAAGTGCCTTTTGAACGTAATTAAAAAAAAACATTATGGTGAAATTTTCATTAGGCTGTTTTACAAAAACGCAACACGTGTTTCGCCATACAATGGCTTCTTCGGGCGTGTCGGCCAATTCCATCATATGCCTTTAAAACGTTGAACTGATTCTAAAGATGCTGTTTGTGTCCTGTAGCTTCCACTTTTCGGGTATCTTCACAAAAGGAAATCAAGATGCGCCAAATCTGGTGACCGTAAAGGATATTCAGTGTAAAAATGTTATAATTAAATTGAATTTTTATAATTAAATCTAATTAGGTAAGTATAAGCATATACGAAGTCAATTCGAATGGCATAAAAACTCAATAGTTACCGAACGTCGGCAGTTTCCTTGTATGGCATGGGCGGCGTTGTATTCATACGAGGTCTACTCATTATTTTTATTTTTCTGATTGATTCGGCCGTTACTTGATGAAGATCCACAGTGATTTCCTAAACTACGCCTCTCGATTTGTTCTCCACATGTTTCACTATCACAGTAGCTTTTTCGTAGTAACCAACATACTGATAAAGTAAGGTATTAACTTTCAGTATGTTAGTCACTACGAAAAAGTTACTCTGATAGGTAAACATGTGATATATTTTGAAAATAAAGTTTGTGAAGTTCAAATCGTAAGATGTAGTTTATGGAATCATTATTTTCTGTGGGATGTTTTATATGGTATCAACTATAAAAAAATAGTAAATTCATCAGACCCGGTACATTAATCTTTTATTTATCTGTTCGGATTCAATCATACATTAACATCTGAAAAATTTAAAAAAGAAACTAAAGAAAATAATGGAAACTCTTTGAAAGATGTGTATTTCAGACACATATGTTTTTTTTATTTCATTTATATGCAGTATGCCCCAGGACGTGAGTCAGGAGAGGTGAGATGGAGTAAAAATCTTTGAATTTTATTTCAAGTTTTTGCACTTGAGCTCTGCTTGACGAGAAATGAATTTCAAGAATATTTTCAGTTTTGACAAATGTACTTATTGGTACCTTCCAGCGTTATCTGGGATGAAATTGCAAGAAATCACAAATTATGTGATTCTCGAATATCTTCTTCTAGTAACGTTTGATGTCATGAAAATGAAATACATTAAGGCCGACTTGTTTTTCAAAAATTGAAAATTTTCTTCTCGTAACATCAAAACACCGACAACGGACAACGCTGTATATTAATGGAGAAGTATAAGACCACTTTTTACGTAGCACCGTAAATAAATTAATATTTATTGAATTAATTTACCATGCTATGGATTCTGATTAATGTTTTACATGAAACTCTTCCTGGGGTGCATGCAAAATAATTACATTTATAGTCAAATTGCTATTGCAATTTTCTAAGTACCTATCTGTATTTTTTTCTTTAAATAAAATACAGCTCATGTTATTCGGTAATAACGTAATTTTTTCTGAAAGTTAAACAATTACAAAATCGGTTTTGGGTATGCGGTTTTTGAGTTCATTCGTTACAAACATATAACAAATGAAATATTTCCTCCTTATATTAGTTTAGATCACATGAGATATTCAACTTTTTGAATTTTTCATTTCCTCCGCCGTGACGTAATTATAAAATCTTATTTGGGGGGGGGGGAAACATACACAAAGCAGAAAAACCACAACACCGTGAACTAAATTGTATTTATTATCTTCTTTAGTAAATTATTCTGTTGACAATGACCCAGAAAATATGTTTTTCACTAATTTAATAACTTTCAAACATTAAAAAAAAATCGGTACCAACTTGAGAATCATTGTGTGTCAGTTTTTTGTCAATGAATTNATTTTGATTTTCTTTTGAACAACCTATCAAGGATGTTACGTACAGCGCCATCTGCCCGCGAATAGATAAATCAATAATGTCGATAGCTACGTACAGCGCCATCTGCCCGCGAATAGATCAAGCAATAGTGTCAAATACATATCCCGAGCTTGAGAGTTACAAGCAAACAAACATACATACATACATACAGGTGAAGCTAATATAAAGCGTGTAATAAGACATTTTGTGAGTACCAGTGACAGACACTTCAAACTCTGTTTGAAAACTGTAACAACACATTTTTATGGAATAGAAATACGATCAGATTGTTAATTCGGATCCGACAACCATTTAGAGGCAATGATGATTTGAGGTAATAAACTTAAAAATTATAAAACTTCGTTTTCGAGAGATTTCAAATCGCATACACCGTTAACTTGCTCAGTTGTCTCTTATTAAGACCACATGAAAGCGCAAAACTTTACACGGATTGATATTCAAAAATTGAAACACCCGCATCATAAGGTTGACATTGACAAGGGTTGTCGACCTAACAACGCCTTGCGGATATCGCATGTACGCGAGACAGTGTTTATTATTTATTGTAAGAAAACACTGCAGCCTCTTAGGCTTATTGCGTTTATTCTGTCATCTTGTCATGACACCCATTCCATCAGTCTCGTTCCCTATACTAGTTTGTACAGGTTCCGTGTTGGATGTTTGTCATATTCTTCTGAACGTAACTTTGTACGTCCATATATTGCCTGCCTCCTGTGATTCAGTGCCTCACATTCGCATAAGATGTGTAGACCTGTTTCTATCCCCTCGTTGCATATCTGCAGCTGAGGTCTCCGTTGTACAGCCTCATTTTATTCATGTGTCCTCTAAGCGGACAATGACCGGTTAGTAACCCTGTAATAGGGAATATGCAGACAATTTTTAAATTTTTTTTATTCAATATTCACTTCATTTTGATATAGAAAAAATTAATAAACATAGCTGTAAGAGCAGTAATTATTTTTTCATAAAATCTTAAAAATATTGGTTTAATTTGACAAGTTCAAACGCTCCTATTTCTCGCGCGCTTGAGGCGTGACGTCATAGGGCACGTCCTGTCAGTTTATTGTTCACATTGAGACTTAGTTTGATAGTTAACAAGGTGTTTTAGTTTAAATATCGCGTAATAAGCATGGAAGAAAAACGCCATTTTATAGATATTGCATGG